TTGAAGAAGGAATCAGCTGACTGTATCATTTTCGGATGTAATCATGGATGTTATCGATTACTGTTCGGATAATGAACTGATAGCTTTGTCGAAAATTTGCCTTTGGCTTTGTATACAGATGTATTAAGTGCCGAAGGAGGAAATCGGTTCGAGAAGGTTTTTCGTTGTTTTTTAGTTTACAGATCCCTTAGGAACTTTTCTCTCAAGGTCTAAACTACCTTTGACGAAAATTTCAATGATCTGTAACTTCTGGGTCCTGAAAAGAGTAGTCACAGCTACAGCTTATGAAACAGAAAATTCAGAGGTGTCAGTAGTGCAGTGGTACAACTACTGCAGAGATGTTTCCTCCTGGAAAATGAACACCCTGACTCAAGTTCTCGGAGGAGTCGGCAGCATAGTCCATATTGATGAGACTGTACTTATAAAAAGGAAATAGAACCGCAGGAGATTACAAGCAAACCAGCAGTGGATACTGGGTATCTACGACACAACACTGCGCAAAGGGTGTATAGAAGCGATTCTCAATCGCAGTGCAGCAGTATTAGTGCCTATTAATAAGCGTTTGGTGTTGCCGGGGACGACTATTCATACAGATGGATGGAGCGGATACCGTCAATTATCAAATCATGGGTACATTCATCATGTTGTTTATCATACGGGCGGTTTCCGGAATCCTTTGGATGGAACCCACACCAGTTCCATTGAAAGTTTTTGGAGTCGTTTAAAAAGACGTATGAGAGAGGTTAATGGATCGAGAAATCCCATGTTTTACAGTTACCTGGATGAATTTATTTACCGAAACTGGTTACATATGACTATGAAGACTCCCATGAGAAACTGGGAGGTTTTTTGCAACATATACACGAACGCCATTCTTTGTAACTGTTTATTATGATAACCGTTTTTTACAATTATGCGCCTTTCTTTTTGAGCCTTCTCATTGGCCGAAGTTGTCCCTGTCAAGGTCATTTTTGCGTTAAAAGGCTTCGGTTTGGGCCGCTATTCTTTAGAGTCACCGAAGAAAGTACATAGTATTTGTCGGTTCGGAGCGTCTTTGTAACAATAGGAACTTAGGGATCAGTTCCTTGACTCCAGTGCTACCCTTTTTTAACTTCTGGTGTGCTTTATCTCACACGAATATTATTCAACTGTTTGTGAGTGTTAATTAAATCCAACAAGCACACTTCTTTCTTTTCAGGTCTGAACATCAACACCTACTGTCATGTTGGTTAGGTTGTTGCAATTCATGTAAAAACGGTGTTTTAATTGGGTAAATGGTTTAATTTTATGTGAGTACCCTACCATTGTTAGTATAATTACAAAAAAAACACAGTGCGATTACATATCTTAAGACGTGCTTTTCAGAAGTTTTGCTCACAACATTCCCTATCAAAATTCATATGATACCTTAATTGCATCTAACAATTGAACGAGGACTCCCGTGTTGATTTCTATTTCGGCGACTTCCCAATGTAAGATCACCCGAGACAGTGAGTCAAAGGACAGGCAGAATCTAAACTGTAATATTCTGATATAAGTATCCTGTCCAAGCGGCAATTAAAAAAGTAGGGCGGTGGTGTTTCTTTATGAAACCACGCTGAGCCTCGTGCAGGAAGTTCTTCTGGTCCAAATCTTCCTTGATGTTATCATTCAGCAGGCTTACGATCACTTTTGATATTCTTGGCGGCAGAGATGCAATTGTCCATCATCCCTTTAAAAACGTGCCAGGATAATCCACAGCCATATTTCTAATAGCTACCTAAACAGCTTATCCAGTGAAGCGCACAGTGATTTAGCACACTGCTTTGAAACCACTGGTTTGATGTTATTATATTTTGTGTATTTTTTTGAACAGAATGGTGTTAACCACCTAGGAATTATTTTCAGCGGAACAATAGCCACAGTGAAAGACAGCAACGTCCTTTGCAACAAGGCAGTTGTCTCACCAGCATTAGATTTATTGTTGTTTTCCGAACAGCTTCAGGTGTCTGTGAATTACCGGGAAGTTCACCTAAATGGTCTATAACCATACAAACTTTTTGACTGATACTTTTCCTCCAAACCAGGAGGCAGTACAGATTCTTGCCGTGGGTGTTATTTTTCCTGTTTAGGTTAGCAGACCATGTTCTTCTATCCCCTTGAATTTTAGTAATGTAACGACTTCCCTAGGCTATGTATTCCGTGTGATCTTACTTCTTTCCGAGTGCTTCCATATGTACACTGCTCTTCTGTTACTTCCGAAGAAAACCTTAGATTTTTTTACGCAGCAAGTTCTATATTTTTTGGGTTGAGAGTTACAGTAATTGAAATCGCTGATGGCACAGTTGAGGGCTAGTTTTCAAATGCGGAAAAGTTGGGCCTCAGCCTTGGTGAGGATATCATGGTATTTAAGATTAAGACGAGAGGGCACTGGAAAGAATATTTACTGATGGCTTGGCATATCAGTATTATTACTAATGAAACAGTGACTTCCTAAATGACTCTCCTGTTAAACACAAACTTAAGTGATAAGAATAGGTTATACAGAGAGTAAATCGTTTCCCTCTTTTTGACGTGGCTGGACAAAGGTGGTCAGCCGAATTCAGGTTTCCCCAGTTCAACATCTTATGCGATTTTATATTAAGAAATTCAAGGATACTATAATCATTTCAAATGTAACGTTTGTCTGCTTCAGATGAACCTTATTAATTCTTTACACAGCTTCAGTATCTACTGTGGAATTCTCATTACTATACCTGAAAACATTTTGCGATTACATTTGTGCTAACCCAAACAAACCCCCTATAAATCATCTGTAATCACTTGGAAGTATATCACTAGTCATCTGAGCAAGAAGATTCCGGGTAGATAAGTCTGTCAGTTTTCTCAGAACTCACTTAAAAGAGTTATACGCAGAACTACGTAGCCTCAAGTCGTGAGAAGCGGCGACAGTCAAACAACAAGGGTCCTTTGAAAAAGAAGGCTAAGGCGGCAAAATAATAGACTGGGAGAACGAGAACTAGAATCAGTGGTAAATCGAATAAACAGAATACAGTCAATGTTAGCAAAATTGGATTGTATATCTAAGTTCTTATATTTTACAACTACCAAATGTGGCTATTTGACCAAAAAACCTTTATTTATGATTATTTCGGGAGTCTTCGCTTATAAATCTGACAAAAATCCCTTAAATTTTTGCACCTAGTGATCTCCTGCTGTGGAGAGGTTCAGAAAAAGAGGGAGAAAGAGAGTTGGTGAACTGGCGTTAGAAGCTTCTAAAGACCATCCACTGAGGCCAAGAAACATGAGATACGAACCAGTGCAACAATTTGTTTCACAAGGAGTTCCCATGTAACATTCTGAAACCACTGGTGATGGATAAGTGACTGCATTTCAGTAGTCAAAAAGCCATTTTTTATGGAGATTCGCTATTGCTTATATGAGACCAACACTTCTTTTCTTCGATACACCTTTAGATATGGATAGAGGATTATAAGTAGGTTATTGCTTACAATATATTTGCAGTTTTATAGCTGGACCCCAATGAGTTAGCATAAGGTTTGCGAAATATTGTGTGTGGCAGAATGAAATTTTTATGGTGAAATGTGGATATTCTAGAGACAGAAGTGGAGGACATACAATGGCAAGTAACCATCTTGTGAGGAAATGTCAGCTGTGAAGACTTAGGGTATAGAAATGGAGAGTAGGAGTTCATGTTGTTGAAACATCACAGATTTATCCACCCGTATAGTGTAGAAACTTCATGAAACCATACTGAAAAACTATTTTTTGAGGAAAGAATGTAGAGCATCAGAGAAATTTGGTAGTTCAATTGACTGTTGGCTATTCTGCCATCAAAGATAAGTTTGCCGTGACTGAACTATGATGCGGGCTGACGGATTTTCAGAGAGACATGTGCGCTGCTGCTGTGTTTTGGAGTGATTATGCATTGCATCCTCCTCTTACTGTCGTTCATAAATGTACCACTGAACAGCAGGGAATATTATATTACCCCTTCACTAGTTACAGCAGTTTTATGAGCAGTCTGGCCACCATGTTAGCTTGGACAGGTCAAAGAGTTTTCAGATAGTGACACCAAGATGCAGATCTAACAGAGTGGATGATCGCACAACAGTCGTGATAGTTACTTCTAGTTGTAGCCAACCAGGAACGAGTAGGAAGTCGTTGAAGAAATGAGGCTGACTTGGTTCTTAGAAGAAAATACTAACATAAAGGTAAAAGGAGTAAGGGTAACTGCAAAATTTTTGTCATTTTCCACGCAAGGAAGTAGAGAAGTAGCTAAAGTAGTGATAATGGGAGTATCTTATGAAGTAGCACTTATCACGAAGTTGTCCATTGAATCCGAATGTTATCCACGAGAGATGGAAAAACTATTTTGGTACTGAGGTGGAAGAATTCATGAAATATCGATAAACGAACCTTGAATTAAGGCATTTTTGACATTTTATGCCTCCCTTTATTCCAGAGAAGTTGAATAATAAGCCTCAGGGTCTTTAATGACGAAATTTCATACTGTTCTGCTATACTTCTAGTCAAAATTTCTAGCTAGAAACATGCATTTCATATGGACAGACAAATAAATAATACCACCAAACTCTATATGTGTGCAATTCCGACGGTGACTGCAACAGTTGACCTTAAGAGAAAGACGTAACTTCTAGTGTTTCCAAAGTTCGCTTTCGCGACTGGTAACAGAGATGAAATAATGTAGTACAGAAAAATTGCTTCTGCAGGAATCCTGTCAGTAAAACTGGACCAAAGTCCTCAGTCCAGTCGATCAACAGGAAAATTTAAATTGAATTAAGTAATTAATTAGATCCGTAGCAAAAGAGGTGGCTCTCGTCGCACAAGCGGTCTAGTAGACAATGCATTGGCGTTTGAAACTATGGGCACTGTGTTCGAGTCTCTGTGGGAACACCGTCCCTCACTGCGGAATGCATGTACATCCTGTGACGAGTCCCGAATAAGACGAAATGCGCATCCGGATTCCTTGCTAGTCACCATTAACCAACGTATGCCTATTTGCTTGGCAAGTGGTCATTTTATTTCTACATAATCGATGAAATTATTGTTTATAAACCTAAAGAATTTAGAGCTTACAATGTATGTTATGTATTAAGAACACGTAGAGAAGTACTTGGAAAGCCTCTTAAGGCTTTTATAAAAAGTTCAATCTACTCAGTAACCAGCAGAAGTTTCAGATAACTGAGTGAGATGTGACTAAATACAGATGAAGAATGGCATGATAGCATATTTCCGGCAACTGTAGCGTAGTAGTCCGTCGCCACAGGGTTCTGATGACAAGTTACATTTTTTATACGCTGTGTTAATCAAATTTTGCACTTAAAATTCTTTTCTGACATACGTATTATCGGTGGTATTATACTCTTGACTTGCGTCGCATTTTCTACAGCTTTATCAGAAAATATTGCCTGATACTAATATCTGCACACTATAGTGGATTGAAGGGTGCAATAAGCTTGAAGGTTAAACGTATATTCCTGAATTTTCATCAAATCATGCTAGAATATTTGGCTTATTTGCTGAAACGTGCTAATATACACAAGGTAAAGCAGGTGACACCAATTAAAAAATAGATATATGCCATAAAATCGCTCACAAATGACCTGTGTAATTTACAATATTGGCTGCCATGTGCTCATCTCCAGAGCTATGAATTATTCTCTCCAATTCAAATTAACGAATAATTAGTGGAAAATAACACCAATTTTGTTTGCTTTACTTACTTTCTGCAGATAGTGACACATTGCTGAGTTCAGTGTTTTCAATACCACTTGGATGATCAACCATTTTTGTATCATTATGATCAACATTGACGGAGATTTTGAAATTTTCACATAGATTTTCTTCTTTAGGTCTTTTCATGTCTAGTTTCTGTATCTCACTACTGAAATCAGTAGAAGTGTAACTATTAATTCCAGATGCAAGATTATTATTATTATTATTACCATCTTCAACAGCATAAAAAGCTTTGCTAAATTCCTCACCTTCTTGAATATTTTTATCATTGTTATCGCCATAGCATCCAGTTGCTATATTGTTTATTGCTGGCTCTGTTTTTGTAGTTATCACTTCTGTCTCAACCTTAGTTTTAAACGATGTTAAAGTATTAGTTCTCATCGTTTTATTAGGAACGAATGTTTTACAAGTTCTTTTAGTCGTATATTTTTCCAAGGAAGTAGTAGTGTTATTGTAGGAAAGAATAGATGAGGATGATGTCGATGAAGAGTCTGAGGATGAGGAGGATAGTGACGATGATGATCTCAAAGATGACGCTGATGGTAACTTACGCAACTCTTCTCTTTGCTTTTCCTCTTCTTCAGATGATATAATCAATGCGGCTTCCTGTACACTTTCATTGTCATTAAAGCATGTAGACGGTGAATCGATCAAATCATCAGTTAATTCCATGTACAGTGTTTCAGACTGATTGAATCCAGACACACTGAATGGACATTCTTCTCGATGTTGCTTGCTTGATGTTGAATGGTCGGATGAGTCACTTGTTTCATAACTATTTATAGCATAATTTTTTAATTTATTTTCCTGAACTGACTGGGGAAAATCTGAATTTATATCTGATTCATAATTTTCAGGTGACTTTAAGCATAGATTTTGTTGGCTACTAGTATTCATTACAAAAGAACCTTTTGGAAAAATAAAGACCAAAGAAAAGAATTTGTAAGACAGGAAATTAAAAAGAGCAGATTAGCACATACAATTGCCGTACCGCCTACAGATGGGTACCGATTGGTTAGAAACGAGATATGATTCCGTTACTTACCACTCACATTAGGCTCATATGTAGTCCTGATGTTTTGGATGAAGAGTTAAATCTTCCAAAAAAATTCCTAGTCAAAAGTATGTATCCACTACGCTTTATAGACAAAAATATACAGCTAAAACCTATGAAATATGATTTAATGTGAGTATTCAGAAAATGCCAGGCATGAACCTTGAATTCACAAGTGACTTAGCTGATCACATCCATAAAAGAAGGATTTCACAATTTCTGAAAATGACATCTGCAACAGCAGACTTCGATAGTAGTGTTTCTTAGTCGAACGTTATTATTTATCAACTTGAAGGACAAGATCCCACGGCTTGTCGGTTCAGTGAAGCCAGATAATATTAGTCATTCGACGTACGTTGTGTCTGCAGTGTTGTCTGTGCGGTTATGAAGCGGAACGAGTGCAGCTATAAGAAGCGGAATATTTGAAGATCTGGTAGACACTGGTCATCTTATCTCCACAATCTCTCCCCCAAATGTTATCTATAAGGTGAGAAGTGACCTATCAAAATCACCACTTATATGACTCACCTTTATTGCTGAGGCTTTGATCATCGAAATATAAAAGTCTAAGTTACAGATACAGCAGAAGTTTATTCAATCACTCCCTCTTTTATGGTCCTAGTCCATATTAAAGTATTATGGCCCCTACTGCAATCCTGACCTTATTTATTTTTTCTTTTTGTATATTAAATCTGTAAATTCATCCCTTATTATTTGTTTTGAACAATTAAAAATATTATTTCGCTTATCACCCTTATTTATTTAATTCAGTTTAATTGTTTGTAACGTTATCTTATCTAAACTCTTCTGTTATTATTATTTATTTCCTAATAATCTTACTAATCGTACACCTCTTTTTAAGATATACACATTTCGTGAACAAACTTATGAATTAAATAACCTGTTTAGTCACTCAGTGTTTAACTACAATTATAATCACAAATATTTTTTGCTATCCACATTATTATTTCAAGAAAAGAAGAACGGAAGGTGGTTCATTTTAGAGATGTATCCACTGATGGCCAGCCTTAACACGATATTTCATCGAATTCAACAGTTTAGTGCTTTGGGAAAGAAATAAAGAAGTTATTCTTTCCGTGCTGCAATTTTCCAATCCTTACTGTAGATAAACAGTTTATGAAGTATTTAAGACCCTCCGAATGACATCCTTAAACACCATATATCCTCAGCGATAGAAATTTGAAGGAAATTTTCCCTTGTGCGACGTTAAGGCCGAAAAGTTTAAACTATATATTTAGGATTCAAATGGAATATAGAATCTTAGGCAATGAACGGCTGTCCATTTAAATGCATCAGTACGCATTTCACTCTGTAATCTCCCATTCAATACTCAAAAGTCAGTTTTGGATTTGGTAAAATGCACGGAATTATTTACCATATAATTTCAGCTCTGCGTATGTCTGTCAGTTTGTATATGCCAGTACAAGTGATTACAGAGAACAATCGGATCTACTGTAAAAGCACTATCCACTTTTTCTTGTTTGAAAGTAAGACCAGTGCAATAAAGCCGCGCATATATCCTTAATGTTCATACAGTCAGATCACGCAGCTTTACATTATTCATCTTATAAAATGGATTTCACAGATTCAGACTGATAAGAGGCGGTCAAAAATCGAAATCAACATTTTAATTCTATGGGTGCAGGGGTAGAAGTGTTTATTTCTCGAATCTGGATTTCATTTACTTTGTAGTTTCGAGATAATCTCATTGGATAACTTCATGTCCCTTTGTTTAACCTTGGGTCAATCGCCAACCAATCAGAAAGGTATATTATCCGCTAACCTTACCGATTCTTAATGTAGTTAAAAATGTATAGGTGACATGCTCCTTCCGTAATAAAAATGTCCGTTACTAATTTTCTTATCTTCTTTCGTTACAGATTTACAATTATACATTAAACTATGTCACTAGTGTCTATATGTATGTATAGTTTAAAAGTCTCACCATTTGCTAACATACAACTTCAATAAACGGAAATGTTCAAAAGAAAGAATAATGGGAATTGAACGGATCTAGGAGACCGCAAACACTGAATCCATCTGCTCAACTGAGCACGGTTTTGAAACATGTCACCGACAGTCTTCAGTCATTGGTTCTTACCATTTCGCGGAACTTAGTCAAGCAGTCTAAACCTACCTTCGTGACTCAAACACTCAGAGACTTCATGGATTGATAGCTTGTTCTTATCTGACCACGCCTAACTTTTCCAACTTAATCCTACATCAACGAATACTAAAAAAGTTTCTTGGATGGATAAAAAACTTGATATCATTCTCCTAAAATTTAATTCCATGTTCTAAGGCCTTCAAGTTAAGAGGCAAAGACGCTATCAACAATCCAGTGACCCATAGATTCGCGACACAATACCATCATCCAACATTTATGTAAATAAATTTGTATATGTTTTGTCAATTAAAGAATAAGTGTTGAAATTGTGAAATCAAAAATATTTTAATTCTTAGCTGATTTGTGATTGACTGTGGAATGGACTTTCATCAGTTCTAGTGAGAATCCGCGACCACTAGGTTCCACCAAGTCGGATTAAAGCACATATACTGGTAGGCAACATTGACTGGAAGTAGTGCCATGAATTGTAAACTGACAAAAGTTGGAATTCGCAAAACCCTGGATTCCAGGGTGCCCACGTTGTAATCTGGGTGTCCTGGGTCCCAACCCTTCATGGAGGCCGGGGTACTTATTGTTGAAAGGTTGCGAGGTAGAACAAAACAGATGTCCAATACTCCCTGGTTTTCATTACCTCCCTAAATGATGGTAATTAATGACAAGATTCAACTTACAATCCATTTTTATTCAGTTATAAGAAGATTCAGTGTCATCCCAAAAATTATATAGTCCCAGATTAGCATCATTAGTTTTTAAACACTATGTATCACGACGAATCATTAAATGTTAAAAAAAATGTTTATTACATCTACGGCCCAAAATTACCTTCAGTGACTTCATTTATGCTTTATAAATTACTAAAACAAGTAGCTAGGAATAATCGAATTCAAGTTGGTTGCAAATTACTCAGGTAAAACAAACAAGCAGACCATTTGAACGAATGGTTCTATATTAGATAAGTCTATTTTAAATACCAAATACTGATGTAGTATAAACGACTGGATGACATTCCGAGCATAAATTATTGCTCATAATAATATTTATTTTAGTCACACGGTTTCACATTTTGTCTATATATATATTATATATATATATATATATATATTCTCTCTTTCTCCCCAACTTTCTTTTGTTGTTTGTTGCCACTTACCATATCTCTGGTATACGCGTTGTATCATTCCAATTACACGTGCGCGGTGATGAATCGATAAACAAAGCTTCAGTGATTAACCTCTCTCTCCACCTAACTGTATTACTCTTTTGAATACTCTCACCCTATTTTGTGATTGCATGCAAGTGAATGCTGTGCAATGATTGAGCTTTTTTCTAGGTTATTTAACTTAGTAGGGTCATTCATTTTAGGCCTAGCTAAATTGTTAAGTTCCAATAATCTAGTTGACCACGATCTATTAGTCTGACCTATGTAATTGACCTCAATAACAGTCACTGAATGGTATTTGGTAAATTACATTATTTTTCTTAATTTGATCTATTGAGTCCTTAAGGCAACAAAGTTGATCTCTGAGAGAATTGGTGGTTTAAATGGCGCCCTAATTCCGGCCTCTGGCGTTTCTTCTTTGTATGGCAGTACTACAGAGGCTTTGAACTATATTATTATGGTCATTTGTATTGCTAATCTTAGTTTTTCTATGGTTCTTCATATGTTTTTGAATAAATTCTGATGGGTGGTTGTTCACTATGATTATTATTATTACTAGTTATGAGCAATAATTTATGCTTGAAGTGTCATCCAGTTGTTAATACTTCATTTCTGTGTGATATTTAAAATAAACTTATCTAATATGGAATTACACTTTATCACAGTGTCCAAGTTCTACACCTACATTAATGAACAAACTATCGTTTGCAATAACTGCCTCTTTAGAATCAACGAAAAAAAAACAGGCGACATACACAGCTGATTTATACATGAAAATTTCTGCAAGCATCAGAACAGATACATATCTAACTCGCAGGGTGTAAATTTTCCTCGTGAGAAACTGTTACAGTCACAGTACTGTGGAATGTAATATGATCAATATATCCAAAGATATCACAAAGTACTTTAATCTAAATTTTGTCACAAGTAGATATCATTTAAAGAATCACTGGAAACCATGAAGCAGTCGATATCTATCTCATCCTAGTTCGCAATTATTCAGTAGTATGTACGCATGACTGCAACAGATATCTAGCCTAGGGTCTTCAGTTTAGGAGGTGATCATATTTACTATACCGCCAAAGGTTTGGAATCCAGTGACCTTGCTTTATACTAAGAAGTGGAGACCGATGATCTCCACAATATCATGTGTGAAGCGAATGGTAACCGAAATCACTGGCTGAGATTTGTACTACGTCGGGAATCGATAGGAGTTAGAATTCATGGCTTATTAGTTTCTATCACGGTAGACAGATGACAAATGTGATTAAATATTAAAGTGGAGATCTTGAGCTAGACTTCTAGTAGGGTCATGAATGCACACTGCTGAATAGTCGCAAATCGGGTGGAACAGCTGTACAGTGTTCCTTGATTTTCAATGATTCTCTAACTGATGTCGGATTTTGATGAAATCCACATTGGGATTATTCAAATCAGTACAAATCCAAAAACTGAATCACACTAGAGTTGAACAAAGTCTAAACACCATAATTCGTCTGTGCTAAGGAATATGAATGTTTTCGTGTGTGTGTTTGTTTGTATATGATACGAAGTTAATTGTTTACTGCCAAGCACTGAGTTATATTCAATGGAACAAGCAATCTTGAGAATGCAAAAACAAATAATAAATTTTATAAAGTCTTGCATAAAAATATGAAGTGACATGCAATGAGTGAATTAGGGTAGGAAGCCACTTAAACCAGCTAAAACAAGCTTAGACAGGATCGAACAAGAATGGACAAACTAGACTGTAGTGCCGATGCAGGATATTTATTACAATGTAGTTGGACGACCTAGCAGTCCGAACTTGTGCAGGCAATATAATCAGTTACCAGTTAGCTAAGCTTTTCGTGGTACGTAAAATCCATGGGTAATGTATTTTTGTATGGTGAATTTGAACTGTTACCACCGGCACGGACCAGTCTGTCTTTTGTCTTTACTCGCTTCAACTTTAGGGTTCAGAAGCAATCGGTGACCGGCATTAGTATTGAATCCACATATCAGCAAAACTCTTACATCATCGGCAAACAAACAGCTGGCAAATAAATTCATATTTTCCCTACTTATACCACAACCGTTCTGTTCTTATTGATTTTACTACATAAGTGACATTAATCACACTGTCATCCAATCTTTGAAACGTATACTCACTGAACTGCATCTATAGTTTTTTCTATTGCTCATTGTTTAAACACTGTTAAAGATTTTCATGTGCATTCGCTAGCTAACGTATTGTTTCCTTTTTTCATGGACTTATGTCAGCGAAGGCTGTAAAGGCAGTTATTGTAAAGAACAGTTTGTTAAAATTAGACTTCACCTATTAAAAGGACATACCTGTTTTTTTCAATTCTTCATGCAGGAAGCCATGAAGGTAACGTCTTAATTTTAGGGTAATGTTTGTATTGGCCTTTTTTAACAATGAAACAGCTTGCACATTGTCTAAACCAATTAGTGACGTTTCATTAAGCTGTAGCGACAAAAAGTAGAAAATATTGCACATTTAAAAAATATAAATCACAAGCATTGATGCCACTTATCAGAAGACATATTTCTTTGTCGTTTGGTGAATGATGACTAGAAATGAAATCCGAGATGCGAATTCATCCTATTTTGGACTCGTGAGCTGGATATGGTTTCAATCTCCAATGCTTGTGTTGCGAATGAAACCTGAACCCAACACCCATCATTTCAAACACCAACAGTGGGGATATCATGTCACAAAGTTGATGAGTTCCATACAGGACAAAACCCCCGTCATGGATTACACTGCTAGTCACCATGCAACAAATAATACCACTTTGGTCTCCAGACATCACCGAATTGTCGTACTAGAGACCGACACAGCAAAAGGATTTTTCGGTGCAATATAATTAAACAGCGGAAAACACAAAATCAGCAGAAATAAATATTTCTTAGTCACTCTCTCAGGCAGCTGAGGCTATCGAAGACACAAACAAACTAAACTGTAGACAAATAAAGAATCAATGGTGAGTACTGTTTAAGATTTTTTATAACACGATAGGTTTTTCAAGAGAAGAGGGTAGGGCATTAGAAGCTACTGAAAAGCCATGAAATAAAAATCGCGAGCTACTTTAACCCTGCAAATATGCTCAAACGAATAAACTAAATGTCTGAACAATTGTGCCCACATTGCCACTGAAAAATCAAGGAGACTAAGCGGCACTTCGTCTGGGATGCGTGTATAGTAGTAGACATGGGAATTTTCATCAATACAGTACTTATTATGATTTTTTTGATTTTGAATTTTGATTACAGCTTGATTCCTTTTGAGATTTGCCAATTAGCCTGGCCGCACATTAATCAAATCATTTTACCTATATGAGTTTTAATTTGTCTGTTACATTCACCCACCTCATTTTTCTGAGCAAATCCTAAGTTCACGGTGTCCAGAGCAAAGCACAAGAGGAAGAAATCCAATGCGACAGTATTACCAATGTCCTCGGTATGTGTCACATTCATAGAATGTGTCATCCAAGGCACACCCTTAGGAAACGACAGTTATAGTGCTTACCATTCAAAGATCAATAGACATGTGCGGTCTAATTTTGTAAAGAGGTTCAAGTCTGGTTTAAACAACTTACTTGTATGGTGTTTTTCTTCAACAGCAAATGATGTAATTTTGGATATAAATACAGGTTTCGAGTGCATTTTACCAATTGATGCTGATGCTTAAGAAAATTACTCCCAGAGTGGTAACCAGCCAGGTGTCTCTTAACCAAAATGCATTACTCCACTTATCTTTAGGATAACTAGACAGCTGACATATAATTAGACTTCAGTCTAAGTAGATCTGATGCATATATTACACATAGTTGCCGAGTTATAGACTTTTAAAATGTATGAATTTAGTAGTTATGATCATTCACAGATTTTTATTTGAAGAATAACTCTTTGGGTGTTCATAAAAGTCTTATACCTATTAATCATCTCTTTCGACAATTGATTAGCATTCTCTTAAAGGTCGTTTCGTACTGTATCAATGATTGAAGGTCCGTTGTGCAAACTATGAGACTCATTTACTAAAACACAACGTCACAGTAATGCTGAGTGCGTGAATTCACGTCATTCGCATTCTTGGTAAACTACAGGATTGTATATGCATGTCTGTTTAAATGTGCAAATCAAGTATGAAAAATGGACATAGTCTTCTAATCTGTCTTTCTAAATGACCAGTCATGTATTAGAAGTCAATTAGGCTTTCTAAATCTGATCATTTCTGAGTTTTTAAGAATCTAAACACTCTTCGTTTTCTAAACATTTTGTTGTTTTTAAACTTTAATCCAGAAAACGATAAAGTTTTGGGAGGATTTCTTCTTATGTTCTTTCCTTTTTAGAACTGCACCTTCTACTGACTTTTAAAACCAGATAAGTCATCCGTATTTCACATGTGGTTTAAGTGATTGTTGAATTTTTATTTTATTATATTTTTGATTACAGCTTGATTCCACACCGTACTTTTTGGTACATGTATGGAGTTTTCAGCATGTGATATCGGTAGCCAAAATTTTCGCAGGCCAACCATCGATATCAGGTGTGCGTCGGTGGCATAATGGTTAGGACTCTCGCCGACCACACTCATGGTCCGAGGTTCAATCCCCTGCCGACGCACACCTGATATCGATGGTTGGCCTGCGAAAATTTTGGCTACCGATATCACATGCTGAAAACTCCATACCTGTACCAAAAAGTACGGTGTGGAATCAAGCTGTAATCAAAAATATAATAAAATTATTGAATTTCCGTAAAATTGTATAAATATCCAACAAAGAAAACCAACATTATTGATTGTTGAATATATCACACAGTAAATATAATCAAACTGAGTGAGCTCTCCAATATTATAGTCAAGAGGCACATAAATTCCTGTACAAAATGGGTGAAGGCTGTACTGTTAGACCCCCTTCACCCCCTTTATTCAAAACTATCTCCTTGCATCTCACCAGATGGGACAAAAAGTCAATATAAGAAGTTATACGCTCGAACTACTAAGTACAAAAATTATACAATATCCTATATAGCCCATATTTTATGTGATGAAGACACTGTTAAACCTGAAACATATAAGTTACTATGTAAGTAGCAAAGTGAATCGACCCTTTTATCGTTCATCTTTCGGTAATTTTATGCTGTAACCCTTTCTATCGTTTAATTAAAGCTTTGCTATTTTATTTTAGTTGTTATCACTATCATTACTATAATTTTATACTTTATGCATATTTTTCTCCTTATCGCATACTGCAATTTGCTACATAGCTGATATAACAACGTTTTGTTATTATTATCATTATATAATGTTTTTTGTCGTTTTCAGTATATTAGATGCAATATTGTACTGAGTGCTGAAAATTCCTTGCTGTATCATTAGTACTGTTTTTGGAACAAAGCAAAATTACTATTATTATTTTTGTTATTAAAATAGTGTTATTTACTGGTTGGCTTTTTCAACATAACTTATTGTTCATAATCATATCATCAAGTGGCATTCAAACCCACAAACTCAATTAGCAACAAGCTTTGTCGGTTAAAGGATCCTGTAGAGCCATTAAAACAAAACAATTTAGTTTATCTAATACCCTGCAATGATTGTGAGGTCAAATACATAGGTCAAACTAGTAGAACAGGGGCAGTCAGACTAGCCGAACATAAAAACCTAGCTAAATCTAGATTGGTTGACCCGAATAAGATAAGAAATCTAGAGAGTAGTTCAGCTATAGCACTACATGTAGTTACACACAACCATACAATAGGATGGGATAGGATGACAGTTTTAAAATCTAATGTCACAGGGTATAGGGAGAGATTGATAACAGAAGCTTTGTTTATCGAATCAACTGCAAATACATGTAATAGGAATGATTCAACACCTGTCCCAGATATATGGAAAATTCTACTGCCCATACAACAAATAGGAGAAGACAGAGAAAACTATAAAAATCAAATCTCGAAGTCGTGTGACAAAAATTGATATGATTATGAACAATAAATTGTGTTCGAAACGTCATCCAGTATACAATACTGTTTCACTGTGTGATACATTTAATAATCAAACTAATATGGAATATCATCAAGCGTAACTATAAAACTTGGTTTTTTTAGTCATCTTAGTTCGCTCTGATTTGTTGTAAGGATTGTACAATTTTCGAAACATCCAGAATAGGAATTGAATCGTTCTTATTCTGCATATCAATAAATGATTAGATGAGTAAGGCTTCGGATATTAATCTGTCCTCCAACCTGTTATATTGAATTTTAAGATTGTCATCTTTTCCTATACTGTATGGTTGTGTAGAACTGTATACACTGCTTTGACTGAACGTCTTCTAAATTATTTTATTAGCGTCAGTAAATTTTGACTTCATTACGTTACTGTATTTCAGCCAGTCTACTACTCTGATTTATTTATTTGACCGAACAGTCATTTTATAGTATCATATAAATTAAATTATTTTGTTTAACAGGCTCCACAGGATCCTTTAACCGAAATAATTTGTTTCTAAGTGAATTTTTGAGTTTGAATGCCAATTTTATTCCTACCTTGTTAAAAATACGACGTAAGATTTTAGCAATTCTCCTCATGCATGGGAGCATTGCAAATATTTTAAATTCCCTATACTCCATGTTGCCATATTTCATAGTATGTTTATCACTTATATCTTCTTTGTTATTGCTATTATTATTTTCTGTATATTTACTGATTAATTTATCAGGGTAGTTTTAGGTTTCAAGCTTCTCTCATATGTCTTACATCGTATCGTATACAAGTTTTTGGTGCTATTTAGTTGTCTTGACCCATGACTTATAAAATCCACCTGTCCTACTTTCACTGAAATGGGGTGGGATGAATTGAAACATAAATATAGGTTTTAATATGTGGGTTTTCTGTAAACAATAGCCCCCAATAATACAACATCTCGACCAAGCAACAAGAAGATGTAATTTGTTTGAATCGTGTAATGTATCTGCACAACATATTTCGAACGATCTGATCAGAACAGCATGTCACTTACATCTGTAGAAAAGGAAGATAATTGTTTATCTTTCCTAGACATATGCTTAGTCGACAGCTTGATGGATCAACAAAAAGATCTATTTATAGAAAACCCACCTGGACAGGACAGTGTCTTAATTACCACAGTTTCTGCCCTATTCGGCACAAAAGAGGCTTAGAAAGGTGCCTCTTCAGTAGAATCCAAATAATATGCACTGAAGACACACTTGATGAGGAAGAAAGAAAATTGACACAAACTCTGATTGATAACAGTTATCCAGACAAGTTCACCAGGAGATATAAAGTAGTCAGAACACCAAGACCCACTCTCTAACTTGCCCCTAAGAAAGACGTGTAAATCAAGCTACCGTATATGGGGCATCATGGCAACTTGACAAATAGACAAAGATTGAACGATGCTGTTAAAAAGACTTTTTATGCAGCTCCACTGGATTGTATTCATCAAAAGATTTATAAAGCATTTTGCAGTATACTATTTTTAAGGCTGTTATTATTATGTGGATGTGCGTCGGTGGTACGGTGGTTAGGACGCTCGTCGATCATGCATGTGGTCCGGAGTTCGATCCCCAGCCACCGACTCACTCCTTTACCTCCATAAGCCAAAAATAAGACTGGTAAAGGGGAAGATTGGGCATGAGGCTAGCAACCCTATCCTGTAAAAATAAACACCACTGCTACCGAAACATCAAGGCTCTAGCTTGAAGCCCTATGTTCCACTGGGAACGTGAAGGAATTAAAAAAATATCAATATTTGAGAATGTAAAGCCAATATATTCATCTAAGCCCTTTGCACATGAGAAAAATGATGTAATATCCCACTGTATTGACTAATTTGAATGTACTTGTGGACACATATACATAGGGAGGATTCATAGATCTCTGCAAGTATGGGCTTCAAAGCATATTCCCAAATGGCTCCAGAAGCAAATAGGGTTTTCAGAACCCATTAATGGTGAAAACAAGGGACCTAGTTCCTCTATTGTGAAAGACATTATAGAGACAGGACATAAAATTAACGTTTACACATCTTTTAAACCTATCTATAAAACGTGTTTGGGGTGGATGCTGAAGTTTGTGAAAGCCCTATCAATTATAAAGTTTAAACCACCTTTATGCGTTCAAAAACATTTCGTCATCAGAATTTTAGTCGAAAAGATAGAGCTCCTAGTTGTACCATTGATATTGGAACTGAAGAGAGATTGAAGACAAATTTATCAGGATCGCTGCGATCCTAATTCGTCATCACACTAAAGTGAGCTTTCTTGGTAGACTCTGTCTTTATACCAGTCAGGGCAGATGCACTATACCTCTGTTATTCGGTTTAATGATTTTCATGGTTATTTTGACCTTCAATATGTCCTTTTAACTTGACCTAAATTTACTTTCTCACCTCTTAACTCTTTATTGATTTCATATATATTCCTATGACAAGTCAGTGTGTCATAAGATTGTTCGAAATGTGCTGCGCAAATACATTACACGATTCAGACTAGTTACGTCTTCTTATTGCTTTGTCCAAATTCATAAAGGGAACTAATCGTTTTAAATATAACATCTGTCCCAGACATCTAGAAAATTCTACTACCCTGAGGACAAATGGAAAGGTTGAGAAAGAATCACAGGAATCAAGTTTCGAAGTTGTGTAGTTACACCTGGTGATATGATTATGAACACTAAGTAGTGTTCGAGATCTTGCCATCCAGTAAATAATACTGTCCCACCGTGTGACTCATGTATCCAACAGAAAAACGGGTATGGGATTACATACCATACCACAGTATTCACGTTTTACGCTTAGATTTGGGCACTACTGATCCTTTCCTTACCTCTATTATTTGATCGTTCACTTGAATTGATTTGCATCGATCTGATATACTATTCGGGATAATGCTTTTGACGAAAATGCCACGATCGTATTTATTTCCTGAAATAAAAACAAAATCTTTTTAAATGTTTCAATATTAGATAAAGCAATAAGAAGACGTAATTTGTTCATAATATTAATATTACTATCATCAAGAACATCAACCAAAAGATACATTTGAATTGGTTGATGTTCTTGATGATAGTAATATTAATATTATGAACAAGAATATGTACTCTTTTGATGTAAACTCGTTATTCACTAATGTGCCTTTGATCAAAACAGTTGACATTTTGTGTGATTATATTTCCACAAACAATTTTTTCATCCCGTTCCCTATATCTTACTTAAAAGATTTATTACTTCTATGTACTAACAATGTTAGGTTTACATTTGAAGGCGATTGTTTCCGCCAAGTTGATGGTGTTGCTATGGGCAGTCCGTTAGGGCCCCTTTTAGCAGATATTTATATGTCGTACATTGAGAATTTATCGGAAGATTTAATCGAAAATGTGCCACTTTATAGAAGGTATGTAGATGATATCGTAGTCATCAGTGATAAGCCTTGTTCTGCCACCTCAATTTTAAATCGAATGAATGAAGTTCAGAATAGCATATCACTTACATCATGTAGAAGAGGAAGATAATTGTTTATCTTTCCTAGACATATTGCTTAGTCGACGGCTTGATGGGTCAATAAAAAGATCTATTTATAGAAAACCTACCTGGACAGGACAGTATCTTAATTACCACAGTTTCTGCCCTATTCGGTACAAAAGAGGCTTAGTAAGGTGCCTCTTCAGTAGAATCCGACGAATATGCACTGAAGACACGCTTGATGAAGAAGAAAGAATATTGACACAAACTCTGGTTGATAACAATTATCCAGAAAAGTTCATCAGGAGATATAAAGTAGTCAGAACACCAGACCCACTCTCCAACTCGCCCCTAAGAAAGACGTGTACATCAAGCTACCCTATATGGGACATCAAAGCAGCTTGATAACTAGACAAAGGCTGAACGCTGCTGTTAAAAAGACTTTTATGCAGCTAATATCATAATATTAGAGAATGTAAAGCCATTATATCTATCTAAGCCCTTCGAACATGCGAAAAATGACGTCACATCCCACTGTATTTACCAATTTGAATGTACGTGTGGACACACATACATAGGGAGGACTCATCGATCTCTGCAAGTAAGGGCTTCAGAGCATATTCCAAAATGGCTCCAGAAACAAATGGAATCATCAGAACCTATTAACGGTGAGAACAGGAGACCTAGCTCTTCTATTGCGAAACATATTATAGAGACAGGTCATAAAATTGATGTTAACAGATCTTTTAAACCTATCTATAAAACGTGTTTGGGGCGTATCCTAAAGTTTGTAGAAGCCCTAGCAATTAGAAAGTTCAAGCCACCTTTATGCGTTCAAAAACAATTTGTCATCACATTAAACCTTCCTTGGTAAATTTTGTTTTGATACCATAGCAGATGTACTATTACCTCTGCTATTTGGTTTAGTGGTCTTCATTTTTATTTTGACCTTGAAAATATGTCCTTTTAACTTGACCTAAGTCTATTTTTCTCACCTCTTACCTCTTTATTAATTATATATATATTCCTATGACAAGTCCGTGTGTGATCAGATTGTTCGAAATGTGTTGCGCAAATACATTACACGATTCAGACAAATTACGTCTTCTTATTGCTTTATCTAAATTCATAAATGGAACTAATTGTTTTAAAAGTTTCAATATTACTTTGTCTACTTTTACATTTGTCAGTAGTTAAAGATTTTGTGCACATTTCTTTATTTTGAAGAAGTGGTTTGTAGGGATTCTATTTTTTTCAGTTTAGACCATGGATCTATATCACTTAGAGGACCATTGAAAGCCAGGGAATACTGGAAATATGTTTCCTGCTGTCCTTGGACTCATTGGCAGTACGCAACCCTAGGTTTCGACCACAGGACCGTATGGTTACAAGGCAGGCCCGTCTACCATTCATCCACTGAGATCCAATTCAATGGCCATGAATTCTAACTTATATCAGTTAGTGATAAATGGATGCAGTAACGTTAATATTTATTTGATTGTTATTTAGTATTAACAGTTTCGGTACTATCTTTGTTGGTGTCCTGATTTTATGGGTAATTTTTATCTGGTAGACTTCATAAAACAAAGATCACTAACTAAAGAAAACTAAATACTTAGTTTATTCAAGTGTTGGTTGTTTGAAACACTTCAACAGTGTAAACTCAGAGACTTATACACCAACGAGCTTACAGCTGTAAGTTTTCGTAGCCAGAAGGTTGTGATATAACAGAAATAATTAGAAACTAAAGTGTACATACACCCAGATGACTAAATGGCAAAGTGTCTGCTGCGAAACCTGACAGTCCTAAGTTATATACTGAAGATGATCGAGGTTGCACACTCCTGAGTAATCGGAAACCACAAAAAGTCATATATGTATCTACTTCCCTATGACTTCCTGATAGTACGCTAGATAAAATTCAATCAACACGGAAACTACTTTGGGAAAAAATATTCAGAACGCGGACTATGCATCAGAAATTTTCATTTGAGCGACTAACAGTAAATTCATAAGATGAATTCCAGTCATGACAAAGTCAAACTGCAGATATTCTTTCAATCTATTTGTGATATGTTTAAAAAGCTGTTAAACACAAAAACATGCTACTAAGTACTACTAATTTGATCACGTCTCTGTATGAAGCACTGGGTGACGCTGGTTCGAATCTCAGAAGGGACATGAGTTCCTTTAAGTTTGCAGATACGCCTTGCTAACGAGTGCCAGCTAGCATGAAACCTAGGTTCAGGCCTCCTGACGACTGCTTCCAGCCATCTTAGATTCTATCGATTAGTTTCCATGTTTCAAGTTATGTCACGAAGTGATATCAGTTAGGGAATCGCTGAAAACTCCTAGAAACTACTACGCAGAGGTTTTGCCCTAGTCTGGAACTGTTCAGTATTACGTATCCATGACCTCATCCGGGATTGAAGCTGCAAGCTCTAGGCCAACCTATTCATCATTCAGCTACTGAAATGGCACTAAGGAGTTTATGATCTTTGACTACGTCTAATAATTCATTCTTGAAGTTTTCATTAAGTAAGTGAAAGATAAAGAACTGATGGATAACACAACTCAAAAATAAACCATAATTTAAACTTGAAGTCAACTGATTGTTGGTGACTAGCAGTGGAATCCAGGATGCGCACCCCGTCCTATTTGGGACTCGTTAGTTGTGTGTACCCGCATTAACCAATGAGTGATGGTTTTCCCACCGAGGCTCAAACCCAGTGCCCATAGTTTCAAAGGCCAACGCGTTATCCACTAGACCACTTGTGCCACGAGCTCCATCTCTTGTGCTATGAGTCATATTAATTATTTAATTCAATTTAGATTTTCCTGTCGATTGATTGGACCGAAGTGCTTGGTCTACTTAAGAGCTTATAGATTCCAAAGCAGAACAATGATGGAATTCTCACCAGGCAGAATAGAGGTCCAGTTTCGATTCCTGTCTGATACATTCTTAGACAGTTTCGTTTACTAATCGGTAGTAAGCCCAGAAAAAACATGGATTCTAATCTAGTAAAAACAAGTTCACCTTTAGTGAAACGCTCAAAAGACATGAAGCCTTATGTTCCAGTCAGGACGGAGAAGGATGAAAAAAAGCAAAGCAGAGTAGTAATATTAAGTGGATGAACCTATTTGTTTGTTTGTGTTTTTTGTACACATAATTCCTGTTCATGTATCCGGTCTTCCTAATGAAATCTTTCTATTTTTCGATGATTCATTCATTTTTGTATTTTAATGCTTGCCTGAATAAACCTTTCATCTATTTATTTATTTTAAAAATTAGCTTTGTTTATCTAATCCTGCATATTCATTAACATACAAAATTTCACCCTGTATTTGGTTTTCTCTTTATGATTTATTTTTTAAATATCAACATTTATTCACATGAACTTTATCATCATACCGAATATATAATTCACTTTTCTAAGCATTAATGACAAGTTTTGGGAATTATAGGTCATTTAGAATGTGGTTCTTGTCGGGATTTGGATTAATTTCAAGGTAGAACTAGTCATGAACAAACACAAGAGTTAGAAAATCACAGAAAACTAGCGAGTACTGGACAACTGTTTTGTCCTAATTTGGGACCCTCCACAAATGAAACCCTGGACATTGAGGTAAGTGGGATGAGCTCGCTGAGCATTTACTCACTTGCGTAGTAGTTTAACTCGTAGTGAATTCTAACTTCTGTCCATTCACGATATAGCACTACTACCAACCGCCACTGCCTCCGATCAGTATCCATCTCACGCTGATGTAGCGGACCCTACTGGCCACGACTTCTCAATGCAACTTCAGGACATCTATCTAGTACCCATTAGTGAGCTGTTGGCTATTATTTAGATGGTGGATTTTATAAGCGCTTGGGTTAAATTCAGCCCAAGGGTCATGGGTACGATGCCTGATGGGGTTGTAGGTGGTCACTTCGGAAGAGTCTTAAATTAGGATGAAACGGCTGTTCCAGTGTTCTCTCGTCTTCATTAGTCCTCGTGACGATATCTGCATTAAAATACATAACCCATTGTCATATTATCATTCGTATACACCTTTCTTGTGTAAAACTCTAAGGTACTCCCGACATAATGATTCCACTGTACAAAAAAACAACAGCTTTTCTTCAATGAATATAGATGTCTAGCTGTAGAACGTGAAGAAGAAAATGTTATCGGTGGGAATATTCTTTAATTACTAGTTGATGTTTCAAAAGGTATATATGTAAATGTTCACATAGTTTATTCCAGAAAGATTTTTTTCACAAAGTAGTGGTAAACCAATGAGTGTATGACATTCACTTCATTCTACATTTGTAATGTTTAGCTGTAGTGGTCAGTAGTATCGATTTTACAGAATCTAACTTCCTGATGTCTTCTATTAGTTGTTTACTCCAGTTCAGAACGTCCTACTGATGTGATTTTTTTTGCTGAAAATGATTGTTTTTGATATTTCAATGCTAGGAACAACGGTATCTTCATTCTCTGATGGTTTTCTTTCTCCAAACTAATTTTTTTGAAAACATACAAACATAGTCCTTGATTCTTTGTTATCAGTGGATTTACGGCACATCAGCTAAAACTTACCGCTTACAGGCAATGGCTTACAGGTACGGGTAAAGATTCTTTCAAGTAACTGAGCTATTATGTAACCAGTAAATTACTTATTTATCTTATTTTATGAAGCTTACAATGTAGTCATCAAGCTAGATGACTGGTCATTACACTACACTTGAAACTAATGTTATGTGGTTAGAAGCTCTGCATCTAGTCTTCTTGGTTTATGACACTCAACATTAAGACTCATGTGCAGCTTTGAGGGAATTGATCAATATTATTAGTATTAATAATATTATTGTTATTATTACTGTAAAAACACAAACTTGGTACATTATTGCCATGAGAAAATGCGCCACACAAAATCTCATTATTTTATGTGAGTGCTGGAGTGCCAGAGGCTCAAATTGAAGCAGGGGGTTGTCTCTAGGTTCTGCCTCCGAGGATTTGACTTGAAGTCTGATCCTCAAGGCAGTCGAGCTGCGTTCCCTTGGTTACGTACATAAAAAACAGGTTCATAAGGCATTCATCGGTTCGGATTTTGGAGCCAATGTATATCGTAGGATTCATAATCAGGGTTTCAGCGCCTCCTGGGTAGACCAGAATGTTCACCAGTCGAGTTGTAAACATCAGACTATTGCATTCACCTTTTCACTTTTGTGAGGGGTACCCCCACAGCATGAAAGTAGAGGGCACTGATATCCTTCTCTGTGATTCAGCACATCGACTGGTTCTAACCATTAGACATCTATTTATTCATAAGTATCCTTTGGCTTAGATAACAAGTTTAATGCATAAACAGCATTATTATTATTGGTCACAGGATTTCATCATGAGCCAACATTGGTTAGAGAACCATTGGAATACCTGGGAGTACTGGACTGGGACTCATATGGGCCGTTGGGTCGAGTCTCAGTGGCTTAATGGTCTACGAGCTCGCCCTGTAACCAGAAGGTCATGGGTTCAAAAACCGGTGGGTGCGTACCGCTGAAGAGTCCCCAAACTAGGACGAAACCGTTGTCCTGTGCTTCCAGGTTTCCAATGGTTCTCTAACCAATGTCAGCTCATGATGAAATAAAATCAAATCTCTACGAACCAACACTTGGATATTATTATGATTAATATTTACATAATTAGTAGAAACAAAATGAGGATGATGATCAACTTACCGTTGTAAGGATTTTTGTAAATATATCCAACAACACTCAGGCCTAAACTTTGATTTTTGGGTTTGATTAAATGTACAATATGAATTTCTGTCTGTTCTGAATTATTGTTATTATTATTATTTTTATTAACATGCGAAAGTGAGCTTTGTTGAATAATATTTCCTAAGTCACACTGATTAACAGATGACCATGCGGTGATAGCGACGCCAGAAGTAGGAGAGGAATGATAAAGAATATAACTGTGATAGTCAGATGAATTTCTTCGAGTGGATTTTATGTGTTCACCATATTCGCCTTGATAATTTAAATAAGAGAAAGGAAATCAAAGCATCCATTTGAACAACAACAATTCACACAAAAAGAAATCATAAGAACACCAAGACTATAAGCTGCCGATTAAGAATATTGAAACAGATATGTTTTCTAATTACTGACTGACAAATGGTCAACAGTGTTGTATGTTTGCGACCGTTTTCACCAATAAACCATCACGAACACTAGGGAACAGCTTAGAACTCCCAAATTAGGTACAGCACAGACTTTAGATGTTTAAGATTGTCTAGTCTTTAAAGTAAACTCGTCCATAAAGTCACAACCCATGCAGTTCAATGAAATTATAAGTTAACAGCTTTGTGATGAACAATTCGAAGAATTAATAGAAAATCAAAAAGTTGACTAAATCGGAGTTTACAAATGATAAAATATGACTGTAAACAAATGCTTAGCTCTAATCGGTTATCTGATGAAATTTGTGTCCCGTATCGACTATTATTATTATTCCTTTCTCTTCGGAGTGCAATATAGGGCTTTAGTAACACATCGTCACTTGCCTTTGTTTTCTGCAGTCTTTTATAACTGGCCCTAACATGACTGCCCATAATTTTTTATTCCCTGCAAACACTGCTGCCTTCATGTCACCTACGCATCAAACACCTATGCCCAAATCACCATTTCACCTTCAGAGCATGATATTACTCGACGGTTTGATTCGTTTCTATATATATATATATATATATATATATATATATATCTGTATATTTGTTGAGCAGCAGGTTCTTCGTTGGTTCATTGTTGCTATTCCATTCCAGCCATCTGATCTTAAGTACCATGCGAAAGGGATAGCTGTTGATAAACTATGCTATAGAATGTTGGAAATGCCTTCTGTAACGTATCAAGTTTCTGAAACAAACAGGAGCCCCAAATGACTCGACCTTAGTGTTGAAGGTTAGGATCCTGTTCCTGATGCTCAGCGCCGTAGATCTCCACACTGATTTCAGAGTAATAAACCCCCATCTTGCTTTTCTGATCCTTCTTTTGACATCTTCGCAGGCGCCGCCTGTAGCTGAAACAAGGCTGCCTTGACTAGTGAAAAAGGTGACTTCATTTAGATTTCCGCCGTTGGTGGTAACTGGTGCTTGTTGTTCTTGTTGTTTAGGTATCTTCATCACCTCTGTTCACCTGAAGTCCTGCCTTTACTGCCTACTCTGCCAACTTGTTGGTTTTCAGTTGTATATCTTCCAGTTTGTGAGGCATAAGTTTTCCATGAGGTATGGATCTTCTAGAGTCTTCTTGTTTGTCCGACGTATTCTTGTCTTCTCGTAACCCATAGTGTACTATATAATGTAGTCCAACACGGTGGAGAAGATCATCGATGATAGCAGGCAGCCTTAATGTACTATTCTCTTCACTTCAAAGTTTTGTTTAAGTTTTCCATTGTGAATCACCCGAAGTATAAAATCATCATATGAATTTGTCACATGTTTTGAGTAGTGTTGTAGCAATTTCCAAATTACTTCACAAAAACGATTAGCGGCACTTTTATCGATGAACTCTGTAATTTATATTATTTTGGCACTATATACTACTTAGAATGTAAAATTCGGTGACTAGTGATTCGATAAAATTTCCGGAAAAATCCAAATCATTTCAGGCAGTGTAGATGTAGGAAGCTATCTACAGACTAATGCTTAATAGCAAGAATCATCTGGGAAATTATAAAATACAACTAAAGAATAAGGAGATTGTATCAGAAAAAGACAAGCAGTACTACACAGTAGTACTTGATTGTTTAGGAAAGAGAATGATTATACGAAGTACATCTGAATCCAGAGTTAAGTTTTGAATCCTTGGATCTACAACATTTCAGCCGCTAATCAACATCTTATCATTACTTTCTTCATAGATTCTAGTCGAATGTGTCGAGAACTTTGGAAGAATATACCCCAAAGGAACAATGTGTCAGGCGTTTACAAAAAGTTGGATAACATAGTTAACAAACTAAACTGGAATTGCACACTGACTGCATTTAATGAATTAAGAACAACAACCTTCTGGCATGAGAAGAGTTTGGCCGAAAAATCTAGATAGAGGGATTCTTATTTCAGTTTTTTCCTAGAATCCTTTTAAAATTTTGATTTTTAAGACAACCACAACAGTATACACTTTTCCAACAAATGAATACAGAGCAATGAAGCCGAAAAGGTTGACAGCAATTACTCATAAAGTATAATATAGTAAAACTAGTGATTGGCGTTTACTTAATCTTTTTCCATGGATTCGAAGACATTCATGAAATAATTACTCAACTTCTATGATGAAGAATAGTTCTCCTCAACCTTTCATGGTCACTATAACCGTCAGGCATTCTTAGTGCTTATATTTTATACCGCAACTTTTTCAGTAGTAATAATAATCTAAAATTATCCATCGTCAACTGTCTAACATAAATGGAAATCGATATGACTTATACTAAGTTTGAAAATGTCAACTCACTGTCAATTGTATCACTTTCAATTTTTCCACTTATCAAATGATTATTCACTTGTTCAATATCTGATTCTGAGGAATTTTGAGAGTTAAGGATAACTTGAAGTGTTGAATATGGTTCATTTTCTCGAAGTTCCTAGTTAAAAAAAAGCACGACAACTTCCAGTAAATGACCTCACGAGAAATAATAACAACATTAATAAACTTGTTGACTCGTTTACTACAGAAGTGTGGTTGGCTGGTTGGTTTACGTTTCCGACCTTCAGCTTATGAGTACTGCATAACATCCACCCAACCCAGTCCGACCATTTCCACCCAAGACGACTGGGACAACTGTGACTCGTCACGAGGTAGACAGTTTCCATCTGTCTGTCTATTTTCAGCAAAAATCAACATTAGATGTTAGGTGGATGCTACTGTTACATACCAGACTAAGAGGAAAATGATGTGAAGTGATGCTTCATTTCCATTATTCATATGAATGATTTTTATTCATGACAAAATCATATATATATTATATATTACGGGGTGCTATCGACAATTATACATCTCGTCCAACAGTTATACGACAATGCTGCATGCCAAGTAATCCACAACGGGAAACTCACGGAAGCCTTCGAAATGAGGACGGGAGTGAGGCAAGGCTGTCTACTATCGCCAATGATCTTCCTGATTGCAGTAGACTGGATAATGCGACAGACAGCGGCGGGCAATGAGGAAACAGGCATAAAATGGACTGACACAAAAAACTTGGAGGATCTTGACTTCGCCGACGATATATGTCTGATTTCCCACAAACTGGAAGATATGAATGCAAAAGAAAAGCAACAAGCTGGCAGAAGAAGCATCAAAGATAGTACTACAGGTGAACATAGAGAAAACAGAGGTGATGGAGATTCCTGGCTAACACCAGCAGCAACAACAACAACAACAACAGACAACAATCAGCCAGTATAAGTGGGAGGAACCTGAAAGAAACAACCTCCTTCACCTACCGACCTGAGAAGCATCGTTTCAACTACAGGTGGAACTGACGAGGATATCAAAGCAAATCTAGGGAAAGTAAAGGAAGCCTTCATTACTATCAAGTCTGTGTGGAGGTCAACAGCACTCAGCATCAAAAACAAGATCCGGATTTTCAACTCTAATGTGAAGTCAGTCAGTGCTACTCACTATACGGATCAGAGACTTGCACTGCGCGTCATAAAGGCATCTCAAACAAACTTCAGACCTTCATTAACAGTTGTCTTCGCTCAACACCACTCAAGATCAGATGGCCGACCAGTAAAGATCAGCAACAGGATCTCTGGCAATGAGCGAACCAACCAAGCAGGAACCGATTGTGAAACAAATAGGTAGGAAGAAATGGAGATGGTTTGGCTGGTCATACGCTGAGGAAACCATCAAGTGACATCACTAGAAAAGAGATTGCTCGAGTGGAACCCGAAAGGGAAGCGGCGAGTTGGTCGTCAGTGTAAGGGTGACTTGGAGGAGGTCATGTGAAGAGGAGATGAAAGCCTGTGGGAAGGCTTGGAGTGGGGTGAAAAAGTGGCTGAAAACAGAAGGCAATGGAGACGTGTGGCTGAAGCCCTATGTTCCTCTAGGAATTAAAGGATATAATAATAATAATATATACCCTTGATTTGCACGTACCCATGGACCTGAGTTCATTATAGAAACTTTCAGGAAGTATTTATTCTCCCTTTAGTTTCGTCAAACGTCTGATGGCTCTCCTACAGTTTGAAAAATTCTGGTTTTTCTCTCACCAAATATCGTCATCTTTTTAGTATAATCACTTTTATGCAGGAGGATTAATACTGCTTGTCATCTGGTACAAACAAGCTATAAGCCACAAAGTATTAAAGAATATTTTTCTACTATCTAGGATCTATTAAATGAATTATCGAATGCTTCTAGATACCCAATATTGCAAAAAAAGTATATTTAGGCATCCGCCTAAAACAACTCTGGAACTCTGGGTACAAAATAAACAGATCCAATCATTTTTGTTACCCTGGCATGCTGTGGGATCTTCAGATTCATAAATTGCGTATTATATTTCTTGATTTATCTCATATTGAATTTCGCGTTAAATTTATGCACATTATCACATACACACATGTTAAGCATATGATTTAAAAAAGCATAAATTTTGTTAATAACAATTATAACAAAAATTAAGCAAAGAACATTCTTTTCAATAACTTTTGCATCTCACTGTACAATTATATATTAATACATAATATTTAAGTAGAAAGTTATCAAAAAGGAATATTCTTTGGCCAGTAATCAGCATTTTGAAATAAATTTCATTAGAAGTTCTTGCAAGAATATCGACAAAAGCCTTCAAGGAACCTAATCTCCAGTATTTCACTCAATGCTTCATTTTAAAGACAATACACATAACCTGCTTAACTGGTTGTCAGTGTTAGTTAGCATATGCCAAACGTTATTGCGAAAAATAAATCAGTACGAAACAAAGGCAACTATAGGATAAAAGCAACTTCACAGAGGGAATCTAGCTCAACAGGAATCGACTATATGATGACAGTTCAGCTTGCAGCAAATGAAGAGTAAGGTTCTGGGTACGAAATATACATACACACTACCAGAAAAACGATTCAGTTTGTAATCAACAGGCTTATCAGTCAGTAAAAGAATGAGCTACACAAAATCAATTGGATAAATCTCGGACCATTGGGAAGATCAATATCAACAGGGATAAATATCATCAATCACAATTCATGTCATCATGATAAATTCATATTTGATCAATGATGAATTCCGGATGTTTATTCCATCTTGAATTTAGTGCTGCAGATTTTGTCTCTGGAAGTACACTGAAAGTATTATAATCCAGTTCAGAGAACACGATAACACTAAAATGTCAGCGAAATAGTATCACATAACCTCAAGCTATCGTCGAAGTGTCCATGTCATGGGTTGACGTCAATAGGGATGAAGCATTACGATCCGATGGAATCAATCAACAGGAACTGCAAAATAATTTCAACCGTTAACATCTGAGGTCCGTTGCACAAATAGCGTTTCATATGAATCAGTCTGGCTCTTGAAATGATGGGTTGTGGGTTCAAGTGTCTATAGGAACACTGTGAATTATTGTTATTCCCTTGAGTTCCGAGTGAAACATAGGGCTTCAACAACACACCTCCACTTTGTTATGTTTTCTGCCATCCTCTTCAGTTGGGCCTACGATTGACCAAACTCTCTCATCTCTTCCTCACACGATCTCCTCCATGTCACCCTAGGATGACCCACTCGACACTTCCCGTTTGGATTCCACTCGAGGGCCTGGCGTGCGATGTCATTTGGCGGCTTCCTCAATGTATGCCTGATCCATCTCTACTTTCTCTTACATATCTGTTGAGCGATCGGCTCTTCGTTGGTTTGTTCCCAAGTTTTTTGTTGCTTATTCTTTCTGGCCGGCCATTTGATCTTCAGTAAGGAGCCGGCGAAGGCAGCTGTTGATAAAAGTCTGCAACCTGTTGGAAATCCTTTTCGTGACACACAGGCCTAATTTCTGACCTGTATAAAAGAGCCGACTTCACATTGGTGTTGAAAATGCGGATCTTGTTCCCTATGCTGAGTGCGGAAGATTTCCAAACTGGTTTCAAGTTGATGAAGGCGTGTCTTTCCCTTCCGATTCTGACTTTGACATCTTCGTCCGTTTTGACTGTTTGTAGTTGAAACGATGCTTTTCAAATAAGTGAAGGAGGCAACCTCTGTTGAATCTCTCCCTTTGATGGTGATTGGTTCTGGTTGTAGTTGTTGTTGTGGCTCGTTGGTTATCTTCATCATCTCCGTCTACACCTTCTCTATGTTCAACTGCAGTCCTGTTTTCGCTGCCTCTTCAGCCATTTCGTAGGTTTTCGCCTGTCTGCAAGTCTTCAAGTTTGTGTGACACTAGACATAGATCATCTGCGAAATCCAGATCTTTTAGAGTCTTCTTATCGGTCGTTCAGCGTATTCCTGACTCCTCACCCCCAACAGTCTGACGCATAATCCAGTCCACCAGAATTAAGAATATCAGTGGTTATCATAACCACTTACTAAAGAAATAAGCAGATTAAGCCACTGGGTCCTAAAAGGACGAAATACGTTTCCTGGACTCTCCTGCTAAGCACTTTCAACTCACTATTTATACTTATCCCATCACATAAAATAATTTAACCATAGGGTACATTTTTTAAAGAACAATCGTCTTTCCATACCCTTCAGCTTAGGGGGCAGTAGATTTGCGCAGGCCCGCTCCACTCTAATTATCTAAGCCCAATGACAACTACCTACAATTGGGAACTGGCATTAAAAAATCAGGATTCATACAATGCATTCCAGACAGGTAGATATATATATATATATCCTATTAGGATAAAACTTGGGCACTGGCAGAGTATAATTCCATTATGGATTAAATTTCATTTTGATAAAATCACAGTGCTATACAGTAATATTTACTGAGGACGTTTCGAGCACCACTTATTGCTCACAGTCATACCAAGGTACTCACATAACTTTCTTGCTTCATTTATATACATTAGAATGAACTTTGCCTTCTTCTGTTTTTTTATTTTACAATCTAACGCAGCTTATCCTCCTTGTTCATTTTCCGATTTATAGTCAAGATCAGGAGTAGTCAGACTGTCGGAACATAAGAATTTAGCTAAGGTAAGAATGGTTGACCCGAGAAGATAAGTAATTTAGAGAAAAACTCAGCTAGAACACTGCATGTATTAACACAACCACACAATAGGGTAGGACAGAGTCAAAATTCTAAAAAGTAATGCAGGTAGGTGGAGATAGAGAGAGATTGATTTCTGAATCCTGGTCCATTGAGTCCACACCCAACACATGCGACAGAGGTGACTCAACACAAATACCAGAGATATCGATGATATTATTACTAGTCAAATCAGAGGATAATAAATAATGTTTAAATGTATTCAATTCACATTCTAACACGTTACTTATTTTTACTGTAAAAACATCTTATTTCCCATCTTATTGTATTTTATTAGTAACACTGATACTATTTTCGAATGTACTTTATCTTATATTGATTTTATTCAAATGTCTAGTCATTTTACTCATGTATACAAATGAAGCAAAAAGTTGTGTGAGTGACTTGATATGATTATGAGTGGCAATAAATTGTGCTTGAAACGTCATCAATCATTATTACTGTACAACACTGTGTGATTTTATCAAAAAATGAAATCTTATCCATAGTGGAATTATATAATTCCTGACTGGGATATTTGATGGCACCTTCACAAAAATATTGAAAATTCCCATTTAAATATTTAGAAGATAAGAAGGTGAAGCAGAGAATATTTTCCATGAAATTCATCAGACCGTACAGTTTTACTTACATAATATTTCAAGATTAATTGTTATAGATTGCATCGATTTTATTTAAACAACATCTAGTCTATTGGATCAGTAGAATTACAGATCAAAAAGCATGTTTAGGAGATAATATGCATAAAAAGTTGAATATCATATAAAGTTTAGAAGAAAAGAGATGCAACAATTAAGGATAGTTAAAACAGCAATACTAGCTTTTAGAAGGCCTAGTAGGAAGGGAACCTCTCAGATTGTACCAACCAAGTAGTAATGGTGAGGGTAAGGGAAGTGACTGTAGGAATTTCTTTCGAACAAAATGTCCATGTTCTTCAAAAGGATTCCAATGGCCTCAGACATATGTAGAAGACGAACTCATAAGACAAATTTAAGAGTAATCAGAATACGATGCATAACTTTAAATTCCTTGGGAACATCCAATTTATATTCACTATCTACAAGATGTTCTTTGTTTTAACTATACCGGTTATTGATGCTCAGATATCCAATAACTAATATGCCTTATACTAGGTGCAACGTTAAAAATCATTATTGCTGTCATTTATGAATATATAACTGTGGATGATGAGGAGGAAGTTTTCGATAAGAATATTCTTTGGTGAATTTATTTATCATCATGAGTCCGGAATTAAAGGCTTAGATGTGCTTACAAAATCCGCTTTCCAAATTAATCGATAGGACTCTTTTCTAGGCAAAAGTGCAGTTTAATTTTACCAGTCTGATTTACACCCACCTACTTCTCCGAAACACATTACATCAACAATAGCCAGTGAATACTTTCTATATGTAATTCATATTCAAGTTAGTGCTGAAAATGGAGAACTATAAAAGCTGAGCAATTAAACCATTCATCTGAGAGGATAGAATCACATCAAACACATCCATTTGAAGCACAAATGATCATACATATTAGACTGGGTATTAAAGCGTGGCTCAAAAAGACTGAAAGTACAGTTGTCTTGGGCTTTCTCTTTCGGAATGTCTGATTTAGTTCCACAACTCAACTAATCCTGGAGACAGTTTAAATGGCTTACAAAGTTCACAGAATACTGTTGGGTTTCCTTTATTTTCACTTTCTTCAAACAGTATAGATAATGAATACTAACAAAAATAAAGTCTGATCGTTTTGTGTCCCTGTTTTTGCCTCCGCCGTATTGAAAGCGGCTTAAAACATTTAAAACAGATTAGACCACTTTTACTAATTGGGATAAATTAAACGATTGGGCTGAGGCGGAAGATTTATAATGATGTAATTGGACGTCCTTGAAGGCCTGACCTTATGCAACCAGTCAAGTTAGTAATATTCTGGCTTAGCTTCCCAGGGATTCCTAATGTAAACGTATAACCTGTTTTGTTCTCATTGAGTGTGACTAGTCTGCTTTCTGTCTTCATTTTTGTGGGCTGAGGTGGATGGATTAATCAGCAGTCTGTTGCAGAAATATACTCTTCAGCCATCGACATCAGGTGGTTGGAAACAGTCAGAAGAAAGTCCTACACATAGGTTTCTTGCTTTCTGGCTAATATTCAGGTTAGTATATCTGCAATGGAGGAAGAACTGATGTCTTCTCCGAGATCTGAAGCCTCATCACATAGTACTGCAGTGAGATACATTGTGACTGAAATGTTCAGCCTGATGATTAGCCTTTTGTGGGGCTTGGTGACTGTATCGTAAATATTACTGACCGAATTAATTAAACATGGACAATAAATATGGCGCATAGGATATTGGCTAAACCATGGTGAATACAACTATTGATAGAATAGAGATTTACAGTTTAGGTGGATATTTTTGATGGTGTTGTTCTTTCAGCTCAGTGATTTAATTGTCTTTCTGTAGATAACATATTCAGCCATAACTTCAGTGTGAAGTGAAATTTTAGAATTTTCCATGGTCACTATATCAGTTTTCCCTGTTGACCTTCATCGCGACTGGTTGCTCCCCTTAACTTTCTTTATGATTGCATCTTATTCGCATTACTATAAGTCCTTTCGTTGACCTGATATTCTATCTTTTACTTGTGTGATCTATTTTTTCGTGATTAAAAAACTGGATCTGTATCAACATGTCTATTAGTAACTAATTGATCTGAGTACCATGTCTTAAGGAATTTTCAGGTGTACTTTAGATTCTTCTGTCTCAGAATTTCTCATTGTATCAAACTTGTTCACATGAGCGGATATAAACAAATGCCTGTTGTATCTTTTAACGTCTCATTTTTCACTATGGATATGACGATCAAGAGAATTTTCATATGTTTGTGCAATATAGTGCTTATTTTTACGATTCATGTGATCTATTTCATCGACAACCTTCATTCTGTCTTCTTTCGATGTTAAGTCTTTTGGTTATAACTAGAGTTATGATTAAATTATAATTACATTTAAAGAGATATTCTTTATCCTGATTTATATTGTTATCATTATTCTTGAAATCTACTGTTTAATTTCCCTTCACGGATAAAATTTCTCAAAATATTTTATCCTCTCTTCATGACACTTTGTAAACTTAGTTATAAAGATTACGCAAATGTTTAAGAAGAGGACACTTACATCCATATCTGAATGTGCTGTTCGGTGATACGGTGAATTCGAAGCCTTTTCGTTGTTTGCTTTCATGCGCGTTTGTACCATTTCATCAACAAATTCTGCTGGTTCAGATGTTTCATTGGCCACTTCTTCATTGTCTTCATCTGATCTGGCCTTGTGATTATTATTATTATTGCTGTTACTATTATTATTATCATCACCATCGTTGACACCATTTACCTTATTTAGACTATACAGATTGACCAATGGCAGTTTATTCTGTAGCAGTAATTCAAGATATTGATCTAACTGATGTGTTGGGATAATGCTAAAGCAGGACAAAAAGAGGAGATGCTTATTCACTACAGTTCAATAAAAACACACAACCATCTTTGTTAAATAAACTTGTATGAAGTGCGTCGGTGGTTCAGTGGCGCTCGCCAACTGTGTCACAAGTGGTTAAGTCGACGTATTCCTAAACTTCACTTGGCGAGTAGCAAGACTGGATCAGAAGGGTGGTTGGGCTAGCGTGCTACTAAAACTTCAGAGCTCGAGGCTCTACGATCCACTCAGAAGTCAACAAAAACAGAAAAACATAAGTTTATGTCTTATAACATCTGGTGGAGAAGTCTACAACATGAGTTTCTCGCTTCTTTGGACTCATCAGTCGTACATGTTTATGTAAACCGAAGTACGATAAAAATACGGAACTCGGTGTTACTTGAATTTATTTAGCCTCATCGGGAAGACCAGTGACTACAGCTTTCGCATGTATCATATACATTTAGCAGTGAATTGTGTTCCATTTCTTTAGAGGTGAATTGCATGAAAAATTAAAATGACTTCATCTTCAGAATCAAAATATGTACATCTCAGCACTGCTAAGCAGAATTCAGCAGTAATTGGTTGTAGCGTAAGTCTTAACACACATAACTGAGGTGTTTCTAAAAAGTATTTTGTAACTTAGTACTACTGTCAGAAATGTTACCATCCAAGCACACGTACCTATTAGCAGATAATAATCGATCATAATGACAATCCTTGTCCAATTCGTTCTGGATTCATATCCTAGGTAAACCTAATTCGAAATCTGATTTTCAAAGGGTGGCTAGAAAGAGTCTACTGACCTCAGGTTCACGATTTTTGGTATCCACCATCAATTAGGAAATTTCTTCAAGTAGTGAATGCTAACTGGCCATAAGTGTGGAGTTTTGATAAATTGATCTTTTAAAAATACTTGGTGGGTGGTGACTAGCAGTGGAATCTTGGATGCTCATTTCGTCCTATTTAGGACTCGTATATTGGATGTACCTGTGATCCTTAGTGATTGATGGTATATCTACTGAGACTAACCCCAAATAGAAGATAATACGCATCCTGGATTCCACTGTATAACATTATGTTAATCCTTAGACATTGTTGCAGCGTACGTACTAGGAGCTAACTTGTTAGCACAGAGACCGAAAATTTTGGTATAGTGTAATCAGCCAGTGGGAAACGCAGAAATAGCTTTAAAAAAAATATTTTTTTTTGGAGAACTGTCTCAATACTAGTTGAAAATTGATCATGAGAGAGAGAAAGAAAGACAAATCTAATTCTTTATTTAAACTGATGAATGTTCCTCATTTTAAGTGTACGGCTTTCTCGCTTTTATTTTTTCGGGACACTTTTATTTATTATTTCAACTTTATCTAGTTGTCTGTTGCTTTTGGGGTTTTCAGAGAGTGTTTCTCATCCACGACATTTTTTCAGATAAATAGGTTTTTCCTTGAAAATTTCGTGGAAATTTCCCAGTAATCAACTAAACATACAGTAATTTTTAAGTCTTGCCACATTTAATGTTGCCTACATTATCAATCGTATGATTTAACTTACAGTAATGCTCTCTCCTCTAATCAAGAGACTAAGAATTATATAATAGAGAAGATTTGTAGCTCAGGTGGATGATTTTGAGGTAGTTGTGTTCTCTGAGCTCAGAGAACACAACTACCTCAAAAAAGACTAAGAATTGTATGATCTAGATATATTAGCTTCAAATGAATCATTGCTGTTGATTTCCTGAATTTCAAGAAAAATCCCCCTCTCTGTTGCAACAACTTCTTATGAGGTCACTTTATTAATAGCATTTTAAATGACTGCTGTAATTATATTTTGCTATGTACTACTGACTAGGATTTGCAAGTAGTTTTTTTGTTTAAGTCTTGAAAATAGCAGTGAAGCATGAAGTTTCAGATAGGAAAAATGAGGCGATAAACTGATAATCAGCACAGAAAGTATGAAGTCAGAAGGAAGAAAACATAAACAGAAGTAGAGGGAAACAGGCTAGGAATAGCTTTTGCGAAGACTGGACTTTTAATTTAAGGTTATTAGTTCCAAGGTAGATCATGGCTCGACGTAAGGTAGAAAATTATTAGAAGCCAGAGAGTCCCGGACAACTCTTTCGTCTTAATTTTGGACCCTCAGGAGCAAACACCAATGACCCAATGACCTTGGGATTATAGGGTTAGCCCACCGACCATTCGACCAATTGGATGCGCTCCAATGGCCCATGAATTCTAATTTCTGCTATTCCGTCATAAATAGCACCACCATCTCAGTCCTGATTGGGTGAGGATTTATCTTGTAATTCTCAAATGAGGACCAAACAGATATGCAGTAGTTCTTCGTTTTCACTATTCCTCTAACTGGTAGTGGTTGGTGACGAAATCTACATTGAAATTGATCCAAATTGCCTAGAAAACTGAAAATCTGAATAACAGTATTATATTTTGGTTTTGGAGCCTTGGATTAGTGTCCAGTGAACACCCTGAACGGAATTATATCCACAGCTAGATCGGAAAACTTATGCTTCTAATAACTGATGGGAAGTGATTAACGACTTATAGCCTGTTTAACTGCATATTATGTAATTTCTGTCTTCTGTCTTTGATACATTCTCAGATGATGTAGTGAGCATAATTTAAAAAGGATGTACAAGAAATAAATAATAGTTATTAAAAGTTGTCCAGTGGACACTCGGTGGGTGTGCGCACCGAAACACATACAGTTAGAGGATAAACCAATTAAGTTTTTAAATGACCACATTAAATGATTGTATCATTATACCTTGACCAAGCAGAAATCAACACAATCGAGGGTATTGGCATACGCTTTCAAGGGACTGAATGATCGTAAATTTGATCATGTGAGACGGTGTGTGTAGATTAACACTAATGAAGAATCAAGAACAACTGTCCAGTACTTCACGACGGTTAAACTGGAATAGTGTAAAATTTCTCTTACATGTTTTTGAATAACACTAGAATTAAAAATTGAGTTTTCTTAATGTCATCCATGGCGAAAATTCCACAAAAATCGCATATTAGGATATGAGTTTTCAGTGATTATAAAAGGGGTAGTAATCAAGTTCCATCTCAAATTGCGACAAATTTCAAAATAATGAATTTGTATGTGTAAACTATCAGTTTATCTAAGCAGTTGGCCAGAATTCCTGTGATTTGAACTGGTGAGCTGTTCGCACTGTGTCAATGAGGCTTCATCACTGATTAACTCAGTGCCAAACGATTGAAATGGATGTCTGGTCTGTCTTGACGACCTCTGTCTGGTTAGTGACTACAAATGGTTGATGTGAGTAATAAGTAATATATACTGTCTTACTAACCATGATAGTATTTTGCCAGGGGAACAGTGTGGCTAACTTCAGAACTAATATTCTAAAACTGCAAAAGGGCCTGAAACGGTATCAGCTTATCGGCGTTACTCGATACAACCAAACTTATCAGTACAAATAACTTCAATGAACTGATGACATATCAAAAATACTTAGGGTTATCAAATGAGCTGCATAGCTGCCTGAGTTTACATTTTCATTCATCGAAGAACTCTAATTGAAATTCTCAACATTCTGAGTTAGATGGTATCAGCATTTTAAAAGGATCAAGTAAGTAGCATGTATTTTTTCCAAAAACTAATCAGGCGCCCAAAAAATGATTTGGGAACCACGAGTGATTTTTAATATATCGCCAAAAAGAATGACACTAATCTTGAAGAAAGAAAACGCTTCTGAGACAGTTGACAGTATCCTTACTTTTTTATAGAGCAGTCAATCATACAAATTGGTTTGATAAAAGAATATAGCACCTCTACCACTATGCAGTGTGTAAAAAGGTATTCATACACAGTGAAACACAATAAATATATGACTCATTACATCTCTCCACTTACGTTAACATTCCAAGAACTTGATGCTGTTGACAAAGTGACTGTTGTTTCAAATGGATTTCGCTTAGTTCCATGGGATCACCGTTGGCTGGACGAGCTACAATCAATCTGATTAAAATTGACGGGTTAATCAAAATGTGATCAGTGGACTTCAGAGTCTCACCAGATTCCAACTGATAACAGGGATGAATTCGACTTGGTGATGAACTACTCTTATCCGACTTAAAAATAGTATTTGTAGGAGAAGCGTTACTAAATGTTGGTGAAAGTGTATTTCCCATTGTTGTTATAGTGGTATTAGCCGTAGTAGCAGTACTAGTAGTAGCAACAGTAGATGTTTCGTCTAAAGGTGGAGAGTTTGCAAGTATTACACTGGACGTCAGCATACTTTCACTTAGACAAGTGGTTATAGTTTGGCGCAATACTGTAGCCACCTGATCTGGTCCATATCCGCGAACATTGTAGTCTCGTATGCATACAATGTGATCACCAAGTCGTAAACGACCATCCTTAATGGGATAGAAAAAAGAGTTAATGTACAGTGTAAGACAAGCCAAAATTTCTAAAAGAATCCTGTCTAAGTAATAGATGTCAATACCGGACCACAGAACTCAAGTTATCTGAAGACTGACCGACTGAAACAGTTGTATAAGCTACCACAATGAACCTAAGAACTCATTCATTTATGGGTAGTATATGATAGTAGGGAATGAAATAATGAGTGAGATAGGATACTGAGCTTGAACAAAAGCTTCCCAATGAATTAATAATGTCCCAGGGAACTGAAGGTCCTAGACTTCATTTTACACGGAGGAATCATATGTTCACATTCTTTTTTTTGAACTCAGACCACATGGCTACCTGCATTCTTCTTCTTCTTCCCTCTTCCACTCACATCACTTTACGATGTTAATTAAACTAAGAAAGCATAACTACGCTTATTCTAGTAAGTTGAATAACACAACGACGTTGTCGTCTTATAACCTTTTTAAATATTTAAAAAAAAACTATATAAAGGAATGGTACATTTATAAACGACCTTCATAGGCACATTTTCATGACCATTTTAAAAACATATAGCTGTACAGCTTTGAAGAGAATTTACGAAAAGAAAATTGTTCACTTGTGTATTTGTCTTCTCAAATGAATGATTTTGGATACTTAAATTCTCTGTGTGTTATGACTTCCCTGAAACTTATTTTGTTGTTAATTTTATTCAAAATAAAGTCTCTGAACTCCACAGTTCACGTCAATATTAATTCAATGATCCAGACAGTAAAGGGACAAATATGATACTTAACTATTTAAACTAAAATAATCGATTTATGTATTATTATTATTCCCTTGGATTCCAAGTGGAACACAGGACTTTTGTGGCACAACGCCATTTCACCTTGTTCCCTCCAGTATTTATTATCTCTTCAGTTACCCATAAGGTGTCATTTTCTTCTAACACCGTCTTATCGGTGTCAAACTCGAAGTGACCTCCAGTTCACCACTTTCCATTCGACTGTCTAGAGTGTGGTGTCACTCAGAGATCCTCTCAGCATGTGTCCAGTGTATTTCTGTTTACTTCTGAATATTTGTATGGCGATATGCTTTTGATTGGCGAGTTGACTATTTACACTTGCTGACGGGCCATCTGATCTTTACTATCGAGACAGTAAAGGTAGCAGCAGATGAAAGTTCAGAAACGCCTTTGTTGGCATGTGCTGCAAGCCTCTGAACCCTTTTCGATTTATTTACGACATAAATTTCAAATTTTTACTTTTCACTCGTGAAACAGTTTGAGATGGCGTTTGATTGGTCAACTGATATTAACTGGAGATGGAGGTCATAATGTGACTCGTGTCAGAGACTTATGGGTTACTAGCTTACTGCTCTGCGCGACCCCTGTACTGAAATGCTTATTCAGCAAACTGAACTTCTCAGTATAAGTATTACCATTAAAAGTCGAAATGTGGGTAGTTAGTTTAAACACTGGACTGTCACATACTGGGTCCTCGTTTCGAATCCCACCTAGGCAGCTCAAGAGTATCATTAGCCTCAATCCCTTCTCGGAAGGTAGTAATTGTAGCTTATAACCTGATTCTATTCAGAGCAGGTGAGTTCTAACCAACTAAAGATAAGAAAAGATTTAAAACACTCTGAAAAAGGTAACGATCTACTAATAACTATTTCCAACAGCTATGAAAATGTACGTTTCAGTGTTTCAGGATCTCCTTCTCAACTTACCAATTCCGCTGCTCCACCTGGTGTAATATACCTGACAATGACACCGGTACTTTTACTACCACACATACCAAATCCAAGATGTGTTGCACTATCAACGAATAACTCAATCACTTCAACCTCTGTCCAATCCGTGTTCAGCTGAAAATTAGACACAAACAAACAAAATTAATAAACAACTGTTCTCAGATAATGAAGAATAGAGTTTGGTAAAAGAACAACAAGTGTTCAGTTCATTTGTTATTCGGTATGTATAAAATCAGTAAAAGGAATTATTTCAAGTATGCATCTTCATTTCTTCGGTGAAGAGCTGTGGACAAGTTTCGCTGGTGGTTATTAGTAGTTGAATGACTTAAGTATACAGTATTTTCCGTCGCCATCTGTACTTTAGTGGTCGAATGCTTGTCAAATACAGATGTGATCGGGGTTCGATTCACAGCCGACGAACTCCTAAACTTCTCCTAGTTAGCTAGCCAATAGTGTGGCCCTAATAGACAGCAGATTAGGTGTCAGGCTAGCCATCTCACTTCGCAAAAATCAACATGCTACTGAAACTTCAAAATCCTCAAACCCCATGTTCCACTTGGAACAGAAAAGTGTGAAAAACTGTCTGCATTAAGAAATAAGAATGCCTCTATTTTTGGACTATTTACAATTTCTAAAAAAACAAAAGGAAACTACTTAAAGTTTGGCGATCCCCTTGATGAGTGTGATTGGGTGACTTCGGTTTACTTCTCATAATACTTTGAAATCAGACAGAATATCGTTCAAAATAAAGCAACAACACTTGATACTCAGTTCACTGTTCATTTGTAACCGGCTACAGAATGAAATTATTTGAGTTAGCTCTAGTAGTAAGTGACCTACGGTATCAACCTTTTCGCTCATGAGAACAAATACTCGATGGTGATATTGGTTATAAGTAGCACTATATGTCCTATTTAGCATTACTGATGAACAGTCTCAAACTGCCGCAAAACAACTATCCAGTACTTTCTGGTTTTCAGTGCTTATCTATTCGGTATCAGTTAGGGTGGTGTCTTAGTTTAAGTCAATCAAATCCATGGAAAGCAACATGAGAGAATACTTTTGAAACAAGCGAATTAACATTGGTTTTTACATCTGCAGCAATTCGAGTTTTATTTTAGTCCACTGAAAACGGATGTATTTGTTATAACTTTTAAGAGTTAGAAAAAAATCTCAGTGTAGCACATTTGTTAAACAAAACTGTGTCGTTTTTCCAGTTAAAAAACAATAACATTTTTTCCAAACCTTGCGCTACCCCGCCTGTTGTACATTTAACAGTACATTGAAGTGTTATTAACACGTAAATACGTGATAACATAAAACTATATTAGGCAAAATAAGAAAAGGTTGGTGAACTAGATATTACCATGGACATGTAAGTACACACACGTACAACCTCTACGACAAAAATGACAGTTGTTAAACTAATAAACAAAATTAAAAAAGAAAATACATTGTAGCATAGATGATAGTGACACAGTTATTTTTAGCATAATGTTAGTTTGTTAATAGTTATCGATGATCGGAAACATTATATGTTTTGAAAAGCAGGGTAAATTTTTTTCAAGGTAGTCGAAATAAGCAATTTACATATGGAAAATGACTCTTGCAGAAGATACTAACAAGCTATTTTAGTCAGGAGTATTACTAGAATTGTGTGTTGGTGGCTAAGTGGTAGAAAGCTTGGAAACACTGCACATAGTTTGGGTTTGAATCCTGAAGACACACTTCTAACCAACCCCCCCCCCAGTTTACTAGCTAACAGTAGGGCCAGAAAAGAGGGGGTTCGGTATCAGGCTAGCAACACCAAGCCGCAAAAAAGAAGACAATGTCACTGCTATTGAGACTTCAAAAAAGCTTGAAGTCCCAATTTCCAACTGAAACGCAAGAAATTAAAAACAATCACTTGAAGTATAAAAGAAGGTAATGAAATCCTAGACACTTTTTGCCTCAAATTTAATTACATTTCAGTCATATCTAAGTCACTGCTTTTCTTTTTATTCTTTTTTAAATTTAATTCCTTCGGGTTCCAAATGGAAAATAGGGGGGCTCAAGCTTTTTGGAGTTTCAGTAGCGGTGTTGTTTTATACGAGATGTGATTGCTAGCCTTACATCTAATCTGCCCTCCTCTTTCATTATCACTATTGGCTAGTAAGCTAGACCAGATTGAAGATTGCAACGGACGGGAATCGAACTAAGACCATGTGAGTGGTTGGTGAGCGATCCAATACTGAACCACCAATGCACAATTTTTCTTCAGTTCCATTGAATCTAATAACATCGCGACATAGCTAACATCAGCATAAAAAGTCTTCAACTCAGCATTAAATTAAGAGTCGAAGGCTAACCCATTAAAAGGAAACTTCATACATTTATTCCCCTTAATTAATTTGAACAAAGCAAGAACTACAGTTTTAGCAGAATAAAATGGTACCATCTTTTATTTTGTTGCCTTCTCGTCAGCTGCTTACATGACAAAGACATTATTAAATATATCTACAACAACAATTTTAACATACTTGCATAGAGTTCAGTTTAAACAAAAATCAATCGATTATAATACTCATACACTAAAAATATACATATATAAATATGCAATATTAACCACTATTCCGAACAATAATAATCAAACACAATGGAAACTTTTAGCATTTCACATTCGGAGCAAAGAGAGGTGAAATTATCCAGTTACCAGGGCAAAGAAAGACTGATAACCGCTTCTTTCTGGACGCATAAATCAGGTTTCAGGCGCTTGATGGAAATGGCTTCAGCAAACTTAAGGAGAATTGAGCTATTTTGCTTATTGATAATTTTGAACGACTTTTCGACGTCCACCCGTGTCGAGGAGATGCCTGGTGATGGCACTGTTTAAAGCATTTGTTCCCTTTAGGAAACTCTCTATTCCGAATATTTTGTCCTGGTAATCCAATGTTTTCATACTCTCTTTCATTTGATAGCGTAACACCGAAAATTCCATTCTGTAGGATTATAATTGTTTTGGATAAGGTGATTATTATTTATTACCACTGTATACATACATTGATTCTTTGTTTAAAAATGAACTATCCGTGTAATTATGTTAAAATTGTTTCTGTACATGAACTCAATAATGTCTTTGGGCTGTAAGCAGCTGAGTTGATGAGAAGCCAACGAAATAAATGATGGTACCATTTAATTATTCTGTACAAACTGTTATTCTTGCTTTATTCAAAATCTTTTTGAAATTAAATTTTCCTGATTATTAGTTGTTCGGTTTCATTGGACCTCAGTCCGTGTTGACATGTTGGCTCCTAGTAAGGATTATTCGATAATTTCCAACAAGGGTGTCTCATTCTACTTGGGAATCGTCAGCTATATACACCAGCACTCTCCCACTGAACATATTAAGGGTGTTTTTTATCAATCATTTTGTGATTCATTACTATTTTAGTATCGGTTTTCAATGAAACTCAATATACAGAAGTTATTCCAATATCTATTATGGAATAAGTTATCCTTAATACACAAGAGTAGAATTTAGGCACTTTGGTACAATTCAATTATATATTAGATAAGTTCATTTGATTGTTATACACTGTGAGTGATACAGTGATATTAACTGAATGATGTTTCGAGTAAAAGTTATTGCTCATAATCACATTACTAATGTATTCAAACAATGTTCCATTTATTTGGGAGAGATGCTGTATCATTTTGATCTCACGTGTTTTTAGTGTTGATCTGATGAGAGAATATTTGTCGATCAACCTCTCTCTTCACCTAAGTATATTTCTTTTTATAACTTTTACCCGAGCACCCCCCGCTTATTCTACCATTACACAGAAGTGAATGCATTGTAATAGTAGATGTTAATTTTTTCAGATTATCAATAATCTTAACGAGGTCAGTCATTTCATATCTGGCCAAATTCCTATGCTCCGATAATCTAACTGCCTGTGATTTGCTAGTTTGACCTATGCAGTTGACCTCACAGTCATTACACGGTATTTGACCAATTTCATCACTTTTCCTAATCGAATATGTCGGATTCTTAAGCTGACAAAGTTTCTATCAGAGTTAACTGGTTGATTTATACACCACCTTAATTCCATCCAGCCATATTAAGAATCCTACACAAGGTTTTCGATATACCTTATTTACATGACGTACTAATGAGGCTATAAATTCCTTATCAGTTTTGCTTTCTACATTACTATTCTTATTTCTATTCATTTAATTCATACATTCTTGGAGGAAATCTAGTTGGTAGGTATTTACTAGTAGTGTTTTCCTTATTTGTTTGATTCTGATTATTTGAATCTTTTGACTCACAGCTCAGGCTCCCGGCTTGATTAAATAAAGATTTATCTAAACCTGACTATGCTAATTTTAGGTGGAACGATTCAGAAGCTGATTGGTTTCCAGAATGTAATAAATTTCTATACTCTTCACTCAATTCAGCTTTCTAGTACAGGTAATTCTCACTGTTCACTGAATCAGCACTAAACACGTGCAATCGAAATGGAACTACACCTATCGCAGACATTTAGAAAATGACATTTTAAGCACAGTTTACCATATCAACGTACTTACATAACTTTTGGACTTGCTCTATGTCTCAGCATGCATTAGAGCTGTATAAAGCAGGTTATCCACCACCCAGTATCACCCACTGAGTTCTGAAATCAAATGGTTGTATCTTATATGGAACAAATCACCCTTGTTAAATAGCTTTACAATATTGATATTCAGAAAGAGAAGTTGTAGACACTTCAGCTATCTGAAAGTCGTTTCCAGAATCGTCATGATGATCACCATTATCTGATCTGTTAACAGCCTTGTCTTTTAATATAACTTCAACCAATAGGCTTTTCCTGATTACTTTAACCGGCCTAGAATAGCATTAGATTAGATGAAATATCGATTTATATATATATATATATATATATATATATATTCAAAAAGGAACAGAAATCAATGTTAAAATAAGACAACTAACCATTCTTTTCTTCTTTTTAAATTCACTAATGACTGACTTCTTATCCTTGTCTTTTTTTGTAAATTAAATGAACTGGAAAAATGTTACGTAGATTTGCTTTGTTTTTTATGTTTCTGAACAATTTCATCGTGAATATTGTCTTTCAACTATTTTGATGAATAAAACTACCATTCTAGGAATCAGTGTTTTTAGGAGGAAATAATGGTGAACTGAGGTGAAGATTTCAATGATGCACAGGTTGGACATCTCTTTTTTCGGATTTTATGCATTGATCTTGGAGTAAATAGATGGGAAAATGAGAGAAAAAACAAGTATAAAGAAAATTGGACAGTGTTAAAAGAATCTAAAAGTTTTTTCATAAAAGATCTTTTTAAAGTATCTCAATAGACTATTATCTGAGCAACCGATCTTCAGGAAGACAGAATAGCTAAACATGTTTAAAAGTTCTAATCCAAGTTATCACACTCTTATTCATATCAGCTGAATGATTGCACTTCATTAAGAGCTATATCAGATAGTCTCAAGCAATTAACAGGAAGTCATACACTTAGGTATTGTTCTTATCTGCACCGATGATCCTACTGGGATTTGAACCTGGAGATTTACTAGATGTATTTTGAAGAGACAGCTTAGTGACGTCATACTGTAGTAATTTCTAGTAGAACCTGAATGGGAAGAGACTAGTTGGGTGTGGGTTTGAGTGTGAGATAAAACAGATTGTGTTAAAAGGAAACAAAACCTTGTAGGTAATTATGGAGCCAAATAAAAATGACAGCAGATAAGTGGGTGAAATGGAAATGTTTTGCTGTAGTCCTCAAAGGAATAATCATCTAATAATAAATGTATCCAACCTTGTTTGGGGATATAAAATCCACAAAAACGATTCAAGAATGTATAAAATATGAACTAGGTGATGAATTCGTAAAATGCAGTGGGTTAACTCAAGGATATTATACATCACTAACTGATATTGATCTTTATTCTACAATGGTATATTTCTCCGCACTCAGTTTTGGAGTTAAGTCTTAGACCAGAAAGAGAACTTTGAAAGATGAACCTCGAGGAGCGTAATGACTTGGCTCAAGAAGATGTCCACACATAGAAGACTTCATCATCCTCTGTATGATTTTCATCAAACAAACATGTTGGTGTTCATTTACGCGTTTCCGTAGAATACGATTACAACGTCCAATCTAATCAGCTCCACAGGATAATGTGAAAGAGTAGATGCCGCTAACTTACACCTACTTTTCTGTAGCCGAATTATGACTTGACAATGTTTGAAAGATGAACCACCTCTTATATCCATCTCTATGTGAATTTACCTCAGTTAAAAACCAGGTTAATCATCTTTATTGATGTCATTTGCATATTGACTACTGAGCAATTTTTAGTGCTGCTTAATGCCCTTTTCCTTAATATAAATGCAAATGACTACAACTCGAAAATGAAGTCGTTGAAACTAAATATTTCCTAACTGAAAAATCATGTGTTGTTTTCATATTTAAAACTGTAAAGTTGTATAAAAAACTCCGACCTCTTCTTCAACAACACACTCGCGCATAAACTCGAATACCACTCACGTATATCAAAGGTGGCATAAAAGGATTCATAGAAAACACTTTAATATTTCAGAAAAATTAACCAATGACACCAGCAAGTTATGTATTTATTTGGTGAGATATATAAGTGGATGGGTAAGTAGTTGGGATGGGTGAGTAGGAAGGTATGTAGATACAGAGGTAGAAGGGTAGGTATGTGGATATGTAGGTAGATAGTTAGGTAGGCGCATAGGTGGATAGTTAAACAGTCCTTTATATGCTCAGTTGTAGAAGTATAAATGCTCTGTTTCCACTGGAGAATTAAAAGCTAGTCTGGAGTGATACATAGATTGCTGGTTTCACTATACTCATTGGTATTTACATAGTGTAAAATTGAGTTAGTCAGAGGGAAGAACCGGAAAATGCACCAATGAAGTTTGCGAAACTATAACTGACAACAATACCTGATATAAGTTATTTTACTTAGTGACTAGTGTTCATAATTCGAAAAGCGATTGATTTTCTTGGATATAGTACATTGGATATTATCACATTATTGCCTTTTGTATGATTAAAAACAAAGAAATTACATTAATTTATCATCCAGTAAGTAAAATCTGTCAATCATGTGTGAAATGAAGCGGTATGAACTAAGTGGAATGGCATTTCGATGCGCTTCATTCTGTTTCCCTAAAATTATATTAGGGGTTGGCGGGGCGTTCACTTTTAACCAGTAGCCAGTAGCAAGGCATACCTCCAACCTGAGACCAACCTGTAACTGTCTATCTCATTTAAGCGTTAGCATTTTACACATAATGTGAATTAAGCTTCTTCAGTTTTGCGGATATATACGCACACATACACACCTTGTAGACGATGACTGCCTGCAGACACAACGTCCACCTATGTCCAGTAAAAATTCACCCACTCCACTGATTACAGTTTCACCATATTCCGTTACATTCAGCTGAAAGAAACTATTAAAAATTACTTATGTGTAACAGATAGTTGCGTTTTTTCTAGATTAAAGGTTCTTTTTCTTATTTCATTAATTTTCTCCGTTTTTTCCATGATGTGAAGACAGGTTTTAGTCACGCTATAAAATATGAAAAAACTTCAAAAGTTATTCCAAAATTATTTGAAAATGATTCAGTTTATAATTATTTTACATGCGTTCCGATGATTGATGAGGTCGTGAAGCTACATTGGTTAAGATGGCTTGGACAGGTGTCATACATACCAAAGCATCACCTTCCTCATCAAGCACTGTTAAGCTGACATAGGATAAGGTTGGAAAAGAATTACGGATGGTCAGACCCATCCATCAGTGCATTAATTCTTTGACTGTTGCTAAGAGCCTCTTAAGGAGATATAGACCGACTGTCTACAGTCCTCGATATGCTATGAACTTATCACTGATTACCCATAGACACAAGGGTCAAAATAGTTCTAAATGGCAAATCTGTTTCTACCCTTCGCGAACTCCTAGATCCATCAAATTTTCATCATTCTCTATGTGTTTATTCCTTTACCCGTACATTTCCGTTCATTGGGGTTCTTTGGAATTTTCCTTACCTTAGCATACTACATGTAGTGTAGCAAGTTGAACTACTACACTTCTTTGCAACGGTCCACAGAGAAACTCATTGTTACACGACATAATCCTTCACAGAAGTACATCGTTTCAAGTTGCTAGACTTCAGAAAATTAAGAACAGTAGAATGGTACGGAAGTAGACAACTATAAGTGTTACCATATGAGGGTCGATGAAAATTTTCGGATTTGAAGAGCAGTCATCACGAGCCACATATACTCCACGAAGAACAAAGAAGCACCCAGAAATGGCACGCCGTCATCAATAGTTGATTAGTATTAGGTCAGGAAGATACGTGATCTGCGAACAGGATATTTGTGGGTAAGGTGATGGGGTGTTTTGATATCCCAGTACCAGTCCAAACATATATATGCCTTAACTAGTGGTTTATTGGACATTTGGAAATTAAGCAACTGACCAGTTTTAACTTCTAGTGACAAGGCCGTTTTCGAGCAAAAACGAACCTTTACTTTCCCATTTAGTCTTCTGTTTCTTTCTCAGGATGGGTATAGTATTCCAGTGGTTATTTGTGCATTGTTGTGTGCTGAAAGTTATAGTAATAATGAACCCAAAACTCTTATTGTCACAGTTATAACGCAATTATTCAGAAACACACACAGAGGCGTTAACACCTGGCCTAACTGTCTATCAGTCATCTTGTGACTAGAATTGACAAAATTTAAACTCATCCTTATGCCTTATAGAATCAAATTTGACTAATATTCTAAAGGAGAACAGCACTACACTTAGATGAAAGATGTGAACACAATGTTCATTAATTGCCGATATTTCTCTGGTTGATGTCAAAAGTCAGCTTTAAATAGCTAGACATTGTTATGAAGTGTCACAATTTATTATATAGTGACACGGAAGTTGATCAAATTTACGATGAAGTAGTGAAAGCCAGGAGTTACAAAAGGCTAAGAGGGAAATGTGGATAAATATGCTCAGTGGAATTTTAGAGATTTCTATGGAATTAAAGTATGGACACATTTCAGCCAATGAGACTTAGTCATTGAAGTTAAAGGGTAGTGATCCACGAGAACCACTGACTCAATGACTTCACGAATAGACCAGGTAAACTTATTATTAAAAAATAGTATTTTCAAGAGAAAATAATATCTGAAGGAGTGTAATAACTTTAAACTGTTTCCCTTATTTCAAATTTTGCCCAAATAACTCCTAATTTTGCATTTTAGTATCGGCAAATGATTCCCTTTTATGGCCAGGATACAGGGTTGGGGTTATGATCAATGTCTTCAGTGACTTTCCTCATAAAACCAGATATGTCCAAAACTACTGTGGAGTTTGCCTTATCTACCTTTGTGATGACGTTAGTTTTATCATTTTTAAGATTAATTAGAGCTAATCTTTCCGATTTTTTTAAGTTTGACTGTGCTTTCTTTTGCTTTTTGAGAGTTAATACACATTATGTTAGAACCTCTTCTGCTATCCTCTTATCTATTTAACCTAATGGTACTTCTATGCTAGGGATGACATCTTCTGGTTTTAGTTTGCTAACTGTTACATTGAAATTCAATCCTTTTTCCAATGGTTTTATCTCACTAGAGCTTAATTCTCTTGAAGAGAATTTGATTCCCCATTTTGTTTTGTCAATAGAAGATGATATATTGTTGTCAACTTCTTCCTTTATCGCGCCGTTCTTCTCTTCTAATAGTCTGTTGAATTTCTTAATTTGCGTGATTTTCGATTTCTTCAAGGTTGCTCCCCTAGCTTTAATTGAGATAGGAGATTATACTCTATAGAGAAATTACAGGAAGAATTTATGTTTCTCGAGAAGATGTTGGAAAGCAACGGTTACCCTTAAAGATTCATTAACAAGTACAGAAGACCTTAAGTCTCAAATGTCAATCAAATTACAATGGAGAAAAATAATAATAAAGGTGAAAATATTACAGCAATTGTCAACAGAAGATTGAAGAAGTCACTAGATAGAGCTTATCCTGCAGCTAAGCTTGTTTCCGTCAATCGAACAACTTGTTATTTGGTGCAGTCAAAAATAAATAGATATCAGTCTCATGTTAACTTCAACTGTATAAACAAATGTACATGTATTTGCGGGAGAAGTTACATTGAAAGAACAGAAAGAAGAATACATCTACGATTTTCTGAACATG